CAAAGCAACAGCCACCCCAAACACATCGTTAATCAACCCGGCTTGACTTGGTCTAGTTGCCTTCCTTTTGTACACATGAGAGTGAGCCTTAGCCATTGATATTACCCCTTCACCTATTCTCCCGTTATCACACGTTTGTTGCTTATTGTTCTCGCTTCCGCTTAGAGAGGAGTGGCTTGCAGCATGAAGCCCATTAAAGGTTTTAGTTCTTAAGACAACCAACAAAAATTCCAATATTGCCATCTAATTGATTTGTAGTAAATTTGATTGATATATGAATGGTTTTTTCATGCTTGTTATTTGAAAATAAGATAGCATGCTAATAAATTAAATTAGTTTTTACTATATTGATGTTATGATTCGATAAAATAATTTTCATGCTAGGAAAATCCAATACGCACCCTTTATCCCACTAAGTGGAGTCGGCTACATTTTTTATACAATATGCCTAAGTTTTCCTAGGTCTACCTCTGTCTTTCTTGTCTTTCTTAACCTGTCTTTCTTAACATAAGTCGAATCTAAAACATCTACTCTCTTAATCGGATTATCAAATGATCGACTTTTAATGTGACTAAACCATCTAAGACAACTCTATCTAATTTTGTCCGTCACTGGAGATACACCAACCCTATCACAGATATCTTCACTTCGTATTTTGTCTCTAAGTGTAAAGCCACTCATCCACCTAATCATTCTCATCTCTGCACTTAACTTAGTTTTATGATTCACTTTTAAAGGCCAGCGTTCAACGCCATAGAGCATTGCAGGTTTCACTACCATTTTATAAAATTTTCCTTTCAGTCTAAACGATATTTTTTTATCACACAATAGGCTTGAAGCATTCCTCTACTTCAACCAACCAACTTGAATTCTACTAATAACATCCCCATTTGTATCACCATCACTTTGAACAATAGACCCGAGATATCTAAAGTGCTCACAACTCTTAATAGTTTGATCACCCATAGTTAAATGTTTGTCACTAGGGCTGCTACTACTAAAATTACATTTCATGTTTTCAATTTTAGTTCTATTCATACGAAGACCTTTAGACTCTAATGTAGAACTTCATAATTCAAGTTTTTCTAGAGCATTCTCTCTCTTTTTATCCACGTGAAGGATATCATCAACAAAAACATACACCAAGGTACATCCTCCTGTAAATGTCCAGTAAGACCATCCAGAACTAAAACAAAAAGATATGGGCTCAAAGACGTTCCCTGATGTAATCCAACATAAATATGAAAATATTTGGTCAATCCTCCTTCAATTTGAACACAAGTAACATCTCGAGTATACATATCTTTAATGACTTGAATATAAGTCATATCAACACTTTTCTTCTCAAGAACTATCCAAAGGATATCTCTTAGAACCTTATCGTAAGTTGTTTCTAAATCAATAAAAATCATATGTAGATCTTCCTTATTTTCTCTAAACTTCTCCATCAAACTTCTCAATAAATATATAACTTCCATAGTAGACCCGCCCGTCATGAATCCAAATTGATTATAAGAAATCTTTGTAATACGTCTTAACCTATGTTCAATTGCAAAATTTTAAAGTATGACACACAAAATTTTAAAGTATGACACACTAACTTAATTCCTCTATAATTTTACACTCTTGTGCATCCATTTTATTCTTAAAATTGAGGATCAAAATACTCTTCCTCCACTCCTCAAGCATCTTTTAACTTTTAAGCGTTTGAAATAATATGAACGAGTTTAGCAAGCCAAGAAACTCTCAAATCTCCTATATATTTCCACACTTCAATTGGGATAGCATCAGGTCCTACAGACTTTCCACCATTGGTTTTTTAAAGTCTTCTCAACTTTTTTTTACTAATGTGACTGTAAAAATTAAACATTTTAAATATTTTATTATTATTAATGTTATTAAGATCACTAAGGTCGATCGTATTTTCAGAAACTTCATTAAAAAGTTAATCAAAATAACTCACCCACCTATGTTGATTATTTTTTTTCTAAAAAGCACTTTATTTTCGTCTTTAATACACTTTGCTTGAGTTGAATCTTTACTTTTATTTTCTCTTTATATGACTAGTTTATACATATATTTTTTATCCTTCTTAGTATCGAATATATTATAAAGATTACTAAAACCATAACTTTTAGTGTCACAGATTGTTCTCTTAAACTTTCTACGAGCCGTTTGATATTTTTCTCAATTACCTAAGCTTTTACATTTAACTAAATTTTTATAACATAGCTTCTTATATGTTATTTTTTCTTGCATATTATTATTCCGCCACCAATTATTTTTATTTATAGAAATTTTTTCTTTTAATTCTCCTAGTACATCTTTTGTCACTTGTTTAATAGTGTTTGTTACTTTATCCCATATAGAATTTGCTTCTTCATGAATATCCCAAAATTTGAAATCTTGAATTTTGTTCATAAAAATATTTTTATTTGTGTCTTTTAGGTACTACCATCTAATTCTACAATGATGATTCCTAGCATTCTTTATTTTATAACTCTTCATCTTAAAATCTAGAACTAATAATCGATGTTGTGTTCTTAAATCTTCACTTGAAATGACCTTACAATTTTTACATTCTCGACGATCTCTTTTTCTCATAAGAAAATAATCAATTTATGTTTTATTAGATTCATTCTTACAAGTAATAATATGTTCATTTATTTTCTTGAATAAAGTATTGACAATAACAAAATCATACACCAAAGTAAAGTCTAATATAACTCAATTTTCTTCATTAATCACTATAAAACCGTAGCCACAATTAATATCTCTAAAATCTTCTACCACTACCGACATGTCCATTTAAATCTTCCTTAATAAAAATTCTTTCTTCAAGAGATATCATTTGCATTAAGTATTCTAAGTCATTCTAGAATTTATCTTTAGAAACTATATCTAAGCCTACTTGAGTTAACACTGTCATTGCCCGGGTCCCAAACCCTAGATATGAAAAATGGAGGGTTGCGTTCGGTAGTCGACAACTAGCGTAAAATTTGCCAAAAAATCATGACACGAATCCAATACTTACCAATTCAACAAAAAAAGGGTCCCAATGAAGGTTAAGTTATGAATTATACTATCTGACCTAGGAGAGAGTCGGGAGTTTGCTTGCAAAATTATTTCTAATGTTCAATAAAATATTGAAATCTTGCCAAAATCTTTATTTATGAGAGAGATTTTACAACTGAAGAAGACGAGCAACGAGGAAAGTTATAATAAATGGTTATGATCTATTTTTGCATATATAAGATAAGTCTTTTTGGTAGGAATTGCAAGTACTTATTTGATCATAATTATTATAGAGTAAATTTAAACCAGGAATAAGCTTGAGCCAGGCATGATTTGTTCGACAGTCATGATGCTTCTCTTGGTGGAGCATGAGCTATGATACATAATCCTTGATGTCTCAACTTTACATTAAGTTTGCGAAAGTTACTTAATGCCTATGGCATGTTGTAGGGACAACTATCTGCTTACGTTTATCTCTATTTGTTGAATGATGACAATAAAATACGTCATCATAAAAAGATACACATATGGAAGTCAAAATCAATATTGTTGACGCGTTATGAAACTCCCATGATGTCATGGTCAATTTCTTTAAGCCAACCAAGTATGTGTTAGTGGATGGATCCTAGAACTCCACCGTCTTTGTCAAGCCCTCAAAGGCAGAAGGTCATTATAACTTTATGGTGATGCTTAAATGGCTTCATATGTTTTGATCGCCTTCAAGTTGTCATTGTGCAATAGCAGAATGTAGAGTGGCCTTCAAACATATCTAATTAAATTATTGATTAACTAGCCCAATGAAAACTTTATGTCTGTCATCTACTCTCGACTATAACAAATTATGGCTTTGCAACCTCAAATCTAGCACAACAATTGGTTATAGGATTTCATAATCTACATAAATGATTTTGTCCTATAGTTGCTAGGTCGGGTGCCGAACTAGAACCAATGCTAGCTAAGCCTGAGTGGTGAGCCTATCTTTTTAATCTAAGATATTGATTCGACTTGGGTTTCTAGAGACAATTATCCATTTTAGGTGGTTAACTTGAACCTGAGAGAATTAATGGCCCGTGATACATGAAAAATCCCTTTTAAATATCAAAATTCCTTTCTAACAAAAATCTCTTTCAAATGCCATATTCCACTTTTAAATTTTCTTTTCTAACAACATCTCTTAAATGTTTCTTCTAACAAGGCAAGCTGCCTAGCTTCCTAATTAGTGTAAAGAAAATCCTGTAACAAGATAGGCTTCAAACTAGCTGTTCAATGATCATTCATCTTTCAAAATATTAGTTTGAATGTTTCACATGTATAGTTCTTTAGTCAGCCGGAAGAACTCAAGTCCTTTGTATTTATAGCTCCTTTTTTGAGAGGATGGTTTAATTTTTTTGTTAAATTCAAATCAATAAATAAAGGTTTTTATTCTATTGTGAATTCAAAATCCAACGTCATCCAAAAGCAAGTTTTAAATTTTAAAGTTTATTTCTTATGCTATTGTAATATGGATTTCAGTCCAGCAACGTAACTTTTAAGGCCATGATCTCCCATGTATGACATTTAATTTACAATATATCTTTGTCTGTGGACTTCTGATAATATAATCCCATTCAAAGGAGTGATCTAAAAATTTCTTCCAGAAGGATGCATCTCGTCTAAATATTTGTGCACTTGGATAAAAATGCAAACTCTCTTGGATTTTTTAGTTGCTACAATACATTAAACGCTACACCACAAATCTTCATGAAATCAATTCATGAAATTGAGGAAGGTTCGACTTAGCTTCCTCCCTTATCTTGGGATTACAGGCTACTGATTTCTATTTGTTTACTCTTACACCTGCATTTTATCCCTTGTTCCAACGTTAAGGCTTCCTTTCTCTCTCCCACCGCATTTCTAATTATTTCCGACTATTTTACCTTTTGACACATTTAAATCTGGAATCTGATTTTAATACTATGCAAAATGTTTTTACTTTTCTATATTAGGTTGCAAGGCACTACTGATGCGGTTGCCATACAGTTTTTTTTAAAGAATATAAATCCTGGAATGAAGAATGCAGCTTCAATTCTTTTTGGAGACACAAAATTGGTTAAGTCAAGGCCCAATGTATTTGGAGAGCTATTGCGGTTTATTGTTACTCCTTCACAGGCAATTTTGGAAGCCATTAACTGGGTTTTAAAAGGAAAAGATCCTGATATTGCATTGCACATGCGCATGCTAACTAACAGGTGGGCTGCACTTTAGTTTATGAAACTCTGCAGTATTTTAATTTCTTTTTGGGGCATTCATATACATAGCACACAATTCAAATGTATTTACTTTCACACCTAAACTTTCATATTTACATACAAAACACTTTGGTGCTTTAAACCTATGCATGAAAAGGTGTATTTCACCTTTAAAAAGGTTAGTAGTGCTATTTTTTATATGATGTTAAAGATTTCAGTGCTATGTTTGTAAATATGAAAGTTCAGATTTGAGATATGTAACTGCATAAGAATTGTGTGCTATGTATGTAAATGCCCCAAGTTTCTTTGTGTGATAACGTGCATGTCCTATTGTTTTGTAAAAGCATCGTCTAAGAGTTATCCTTGGGTAAATTTGTAGTTTTTCCACGCTAAATTACATATCTCTTGGTGTCCTCTTGGATAAATTTATTACTTATTTTTTTAAATGAGCTAACAATTTTAAATTTCTTCTGGTGATACAAATGTGGTAAGCTAGCAATCTAAATGCAAATGCTGTTTATGGTGATTTCTGTAATTGAAAATTATAGTTCTGCATGTGTTATTGTTCACGAGGCTCCTGCATATTCTTGTTTTTTAAACAAATAATGTAGTGTCTGTAATCTCATTTGATTGCACTGGAAATCATATTCTTTCTTTTTCTTTAAGAGTTGTGAAATTAGGGCTTATGTGCTTATGTATTATGAAACCTGTATAAATATGTTCGTATTAGTTTCCTAAATATTGGCTCATATGCACTGCTTAATTCTTGTATCTTGCATTATTATTGTTAATTAGAATCCTATCTTAGATATAGTTTTTTTATTAGGGGAAGTTTACATACATACCACACAATTCATATGCATTTACATATCTAACATCAAAAGTTTGATGTTTGCCCTTGTAACACTTTGGTATCATAAATTCATGCATGAAAATGTGCATGTCATTTTTTTCAAAATTTTGTAATTATGGTATTTTTGATGTGATGTCAAAGTTTTGAGTGTCATACATTTAATTATGAAAAAGTGTAGATGTTATATGTAAAAGCCCCTTTTATTAATTGCTCAGGTTGAAATTTAATAAACTACATTTAATTACTTTTTTTTTAACTGTTTACTTTATGCAGGTCTGCAAGAGCCGTAAAGGCGGCACTTATGTGTGTTAAGAGGGCAATGCATAATCATTATCACAACATTTCAAATCCTCGTGTTGTGCTCGTCTCAGACACGCCCTCATTTATCAAGGAAATAACGCCAAATCTCACTGAATTCGCAGACGTAAGTGAATCCAACCAATATGTCATGACTTTAATATTTAATTATTGATAGCACCTTCTTGATACATTATGAAACATAACCATATTTGTGATCATAAGGGGATCTTTCCTTAATTAAATCCATTTATGTATCATATTTCATTCGAACAGATTCTTCACTTTGATTACAATCTGTTCGAGAGTAGCATTTCTGGTTGGAGAATGGATGAGAAAGAGCAGGTATTTTATTGTTGCATAATTCTCACCATTTTGTTATAGAACATTGTAAAATTTTTTGACACAAGATACTAGAATTGGATTCATTACTATAAATTTGCTAAATAAGTACTAAACTCTTTTCTTCTATGATTTGAAGTTGTCATTATGCCACCGTCATGCAGCCTGGGACTCTCTTGTAAGAGATGAACCGTTAAGCCTGTAACCTAACTGGTTACTTATTAGTTAAATTTGTAATCTACGGCCTTCATACTTTGTTGTCTAGGTTCTTTAGCACCATGTTAACCTTTGCAACATAACCCCAGCTACCTATCATCTTCTCCATGCCCTGGGAACTCTTTTAGGGAAGCTTGGGTTGAACAATCATAGGATCGGGGGGAAAGTTCCATGCTTCCTCTTTCGAGGTCACGAGATATTTCTTTTTCCAAAACTTTTGAGGCCTCTAGATATTCTTTTTCCAACTTGTAGGAGAAATGATGGGTCACAACACTTAACCCTAGCCTAATCGCATTGTGAAATAACAAATACCTGAAGAAGTGAATGAAACTCCTCACAGTTCAAGTAATCTTATACCTTTCCAAGAGCCAAACTGATCTACTAAGGATGGTGAAAGCACCAGGAGATAGTTGCTAATGGATAATGTTTAGCGCCGCCCTCATTCATCAAAGAGTTAACCTTTTCCTTGGGTGAAATTCTCATCCCCAATTCAAATTAACATGTCAAAAAGAAGATGCCTTGCCAGCAAACAATCCTTTTAGGAAGTCAGAGCTTGAACCCCTCCACATCATCAAGAACTTTATTTTCCTTTTCCAAGGAATTGGTGTTTACATCATTGGGAGAGAAGATCGCGCTAACAAAGCCAACAAAAATAGAAGGCTCAATGCCTCCTTTAGAAGGTTCAAATGAAGATTTGAGAGAGAAGAAATAAGAAAGCCAAAATTAAATGTTTAGGCAATAAGCAAACACAAGATAGTAGATGCCAACATTAAAATGCAAAAAAAAAAAAAAAAAAAAAAAAAAAAAAAAAAAAAATTCGAACCAAGCATTCGCTATCTTATCTTATATCAAGTGTCATACATATCAAAGCAGCTGAGGTGACAATTGATGTATCTCACCATCAGTGGAAATGTTTAAAAGTTTGGGTCCAAAGGATGCAAAAGGAGTCTTTCATTATTGCTATTTATTCCCTAGATAGGATTATTTATCCATCTTAGCTTGCATTAATGATAATTAAACCATTAAGCATCATCCACATACACATGATGACATGTCAATGAACTTAAACAATGAAAAAAAACTTAAAACAACATCATACCATTTTAGGAAAGTCTTGCCTGTTATACATTTTTCAACAACATGATTTACCCTCAAAATTTACAAAATAATAAAAGAAAAAAACTAATAGGCTAAAACAATAGATACTTTAATTGTACTCCTCTATTGCCACTATACGGCTAGCCTCTAGCTCTAGGTAAATGATATTGATCAAAAATAATTTTTTTGTACTACTCTCTCTGATCATCATGATGTTTCACCTACAGATCCAACTAACAAACCAAGAGTTTGGGATGGATGCTCTATCTCGGACTCACAAGAGGAACCTCGAGAGGATCCATGCGGGTGAGATAGAATTATTGTATCATAATTTCATTATTGGTGAAGGGCAACAGTATTATCACCAATGGATTTATCTTCCGTGAGGGGTTTAAATGTTTAAGTTGAGTCACAAAGAGGACTCCTTGCTTGAGATGTTTCTCTCTCATCTTGTTAAAATTGTCAAGACCTCATTAAGGTCAATGGACCATAATCATGCCTCCATGTCGATCAGCTTGCTGTCAGCCAATTTCACATTCAAGTCAAATATTTCTATGTGCAGCATCCTCTATTGCATGCAGGGCATGTCTCTACTCATGTTCGGCTTCTATGATGCCCGACCCTAAAGAATGTCAGTCTTTAACACAACCTAATTGAATTGATGATCAACTCTCTTCATCACGAGAAAATTTTCCATACGGAGTCCAAATGCAGCTCTGCGTGCGGACTTTAGTAATATGATGTCACGTGTGCTATATCACGGAGGTTATTGTGTGGTTATTAAAGTGAAACCGTGGAGGTTATTGGGGGTTATTGAAGTGTAACCATGGAGGTTATTGGGTGGTTATTGGAGGTTATTATGGTGGTTAAAGTAGAGGGTTATTGAAGTGGAACCACGGAGGTTATTGGAGGGTTATTGTTGTGGGTTATTGGAGTAGAACCCCGAAGGTTATTAGGGGGTTATTGAAGGGTTATTGCGGCGTTATTGGAGTTAATACCCTAATAAACCCCCAATAACCTTCATGGTTCCACTCCAATAATCTCCGTTGTTCCCCTTAATAACCTCCGCGGTTTTACTTTAAAAATTTTTTAGGTGAGCTCGGTTTAGCACATATGACGGCATATTAGTGGAGTTCGCACGCAGAGCTGCATCCGGACTCCGTATGGAAAATTTTCTCCTTCATCACAATTAGCAGTTGATTAAGGGAATCTTGCAACTCAACGATCTCTTGCATATTCTGCACAACCACCCATAAAACCTCTCCATTCTCTCAAGGAGAAACTCTATTCACTGAGGCAATGAAACCCTCAAATTAAAGAGTGAAAGGGGGGAACATTTCCACCTACATCAGCAACAATCTCAGTAAGTCGCCGACCTTTTTTGCAGTCGAGGCGAGCCATTCCTCCTCTTGCTAATTGACACCATAAGTGAATAGTTCTTTCTCTTCTTTCTCATCCTTCACCTCTTCCTTCTCCTTTTTCACCTCTTCTTACTCCTCCCCCACAATAGAGGGAGTTGATGTATCAGTTCCCTCGATGGTGTCCTTTCCATGGTAAATATATTCAATTCCTTGAGCAAAAAACGCCACCATTGGCGTTGTATTTGCTGACAAGAGAGTGGGATTGTCTTGCACTGGTTCAGAGTTCTACGGCTCCAAGTCAATATTCACCATCCTAATGGCAATACATCCTTGATATCAATAGGTGTAGCCCCTTATTATGTCTTTTACCTTTTCTTGGCCACTATATCCAGCACATCCCTCGAAGATTGCCTTCCTGTCTCCAGAACACTCTGTCATGGCAAGCACAGCAAATCATAGGGAAAATAGCAATGAGTTATGTGGGTCAATTTTCAAAATAAAATTCATCCTTTATAGTATTTTGCCTGCTTCAAGTGTGGGGAGTTGAAATACACAAGTCTATGGGTCATGTTAGCTAATATGGTAACAACAAAAGAATGCTGTAACAACTTGGACGCTCCCTTGGTGTTGATAAATATACTGACATATTTACCTAAAGTGAATGATGGTTCATCAATTACTACACCTAGTTTCTAGCATTCCATTTCAATTCTATTTATGAAAAGGGTCAATAAAGAAGCTACCATCAATCTGTCTTTTGTTATTGTTAAAATCTCATAATATGTTATTTTGTTTCGAAGCATGAAATGGCTAATAGCCAATCTTGATTCAAAACTTGCATAAGAATTGTATAAAATTGTTTGGCCAAAACATGAGGTTATCTTATTCTAGATTTACAATTCTGTTTTCAGTATATTTGGTGTGTATATAACACTGGTCTTTGGTTTTGGCTCAGTCTACAGATTTTAGAGCTAGGGACTGGGGACCAGCACCAAGATGGGTTGCCTTCGTCGATTTCTTTCTCGCTTCGCGAGCAAAGCATGCTGTTGTCTCCGGAGCCCACCGTCGTGTTGGGACAACGTATGCTCAGCTCATTGCGGCATTAGCCGCAGCCAACCGCCATAGTATGGCCACAACTTGCTTCTCCCTAGTCCCAACAATGACTAAAGTCATCCAAACAATAATTGAATTGAAGGGCATTTGCATCTACTATTGAAATCTTACATCTTAATACATAAAAACCTTTATTTTTATTTATATAACACCCTAATATTAAATAATATCAAAATTTACCATTTTGAAAATGAAATATGCATTTTCAAATATATATATATATATATATTGTCGTTTAGACATTATTGTGTTATATAAATAAATATAAAGATTTAGGCATACAAGTTTTAGGAATATTTACATACATATAATTCGATTCCTATTTATTTACATATCTAAAACTAAAACTTTATTTTTTTACATGGTGCATTTACATACATACCACCCAATTCCTATGTATTCATAGAGTTCACGTTTAAACTTTATTTTTTACAAATCTTTCATATTACAACAAAATTATTATCATCTTGACTTTTAAAAAGTATATACATTTTCATACATAGGTAAGGCAGCATGTATGTAAAAATTAGAGTTTAGGTGTTTGATATATGAATACAAAGGAATTGAGTGGCATGTATGCAAATTTTACTTGTCATTTTGTATGAAAATATGTATTTCACTTTTTAAAAGTTAAAATGGTGATATTTTTTATGTGATATGAAAATTTGGTTGATATAAATTTAAAAAGTGCAATGTAGGTGTTAGATATGTAAATACATAAGAATTGGGTAGTATGTTAATGCCCCCAAGTATCAATACATAGAAATTAGCGGGAAATAAGTAAATCCCCTTGATTTTTTTATTAAAACTAATTCAAAAGTAAGCTTCCATCCTACCCTATTTGATAATTATCATTATCATTCTGCTCCAATTGGTTCAAGGCCATGCCAATTGTTGGTGCATGATAACTAAAACTTTGGTGTGGCAGGAGAGGATCAAATGGACTCGAGCTTTGCATTCTACAGCAGCTTTCAGAGCAACCTGCTTGTAGATGGCCTATCCAAACAAATAGGATGGGGTCATGCTTGGAATAGGTTTGCCGGCCCACTTAGTTGCTGCCGCCAGCCCCACCAATGTGCAATAACGCCGCTCCTCCCGCCGGCCTGGTGGGATGGGGACTGGCAGAGCCCCATCCAGCGAGATGTACGAAGGTTGGAAGCTTACGGTGTTCGGCTGACTCAGAATGGCCGAGTCATTGATGGCTCTCTTGAAACATACTGTAAAAAGAGAGAAGATCATGTCGAGACTATTCGTGTTTTTGGATCATGCAGTGGAACCAAGTGTAAGTAGGCTTGGTGATCTGTGCATGGAGATAGTCTAAATTTGGTGGTAGATGAGGCTCCAAATTTTCCATCACCCACTTAATTATTTTCTGAGCTGTTCAAATCTCTATATATGTTAATGAGCAGTGTTATGAACGGATGTAAAGAAATATTTCAATTCGACACATCAGTTTATTATCCAAAATATCAGAGCTTCCTCCTTTTTCTCTGCTTGCACAACTCCAAGCAACAAAATTTATATTAAGGGGTGTTTACATACATACCACACAATCCTTTATGTATTTACATATCTAACACCTAAATATTCATATATTTTTTTATGCATAAGGTTATGACACCAAGATGTTCTGAGTATAAATATCAAACTGTAGGTGTTAAATATGTAAATACATGAGATTGTGTATATATGTAAATTTTCCTAATACAAGGCATAATAATTTTATTTCTATACATTAAACAGTAAACAAATAAAAAACAAAATTCATGCAAAAAAACATATTTAAAATATCTACAAACAGCAAAATAAAGCCTAAGCATATTTTTAGTTACCGCCAGCGTTTGTTACCTCTGCAATCGGACCGATGGAGGAAGGCTTCAAGGCTTTATTTCCGGTGCTCCTCCTCCCTCCGCTTCCTCCACTGTGCTTCTGCTGTACCTTACCCCCTCCCCCCATCCCCCAGAGAAATTGTAAGAATAAGAATCAAGCTGCGATGAATCAGCTACGGTGAAGGACGCCGCGCTGTAGTTTTTGGACGAATCCAAGAGGCCGCCGACGGCTCCATCCTCGTGCGGCGGCGGGAACTTCTCGCTGTTAGTCGTAAGATTTGGATGCCCGCCTCGCCTGAATCTCTGTAAATGGCTCAAAACCAGATTGTGAGATTTATATGGAATAAATTATATTGATGAAGTTTGAGTTACATATCGTTTTATACAGTTTTATACATCAAGATTTGTTTTGAGTTCTGCGTTGGCTGATGGAGAGGGAACCGCGCGCCTTCTCCGTCCGTGAAAAGTCTTGTATTTCTTCTGGACATCGCTGCTGCTGCTGCTGCTGCTGCTTTGTTTTGCAGCGGCGTCTATTTGCAATCTGAATCATCTTGCAGCGTCTGTGGGTACAGATTTTGCCGAGTTTAGGTGAATTTATGAAGAAAAAATAAAGGAAAACATGCATGCATACCACTCAATTCATATCAAACGCCTAAAACTCCTATTTTTACATGCATGCCATCGTACCCATGCATTAAAAAGTGTATTTCATTTTTTTAATTGTTAAAATGAAGGAATTTTTTATGTGAAATGAAAGATATTGGTGATATAAATAAAAGAAAAAGGAAAGTTTAGGCGTTGGATATGTAATACATTGGAATTTGGTGGTATGAATGTAAATGCCCGAATAAAGGAAATTGGGAATTAAATTTTCCTAGTGACGGGCTTAAAAAAATTGATGCAGGAATGAAATATACCGTTTCTTGGTGTGAAATCTTTGACATATATTACATAAATAACCTTAAAAAGAATAGTCTGTCTTTTTTGGCTCATTATAAATCTTATCTGTTGAAATTTGCACTGGTTTGAAATTATTTGGGAATACTATTTTCATATTCAACCATTTGACTTTGAACGAAACAAGAAGTGATTGAACAAATAAAAAAGGAATAAATAAAAAGCCAATTAGTAAGATAAAATTAATTTACATGTCTATTAACTGATTAATAAAACTAAGACCCAAAGTTTTGATATTTGCTTTTATAACACTTGTAAGCTTAGTTTCACTTTTAGAAAGTTGTAATAATAATATCTTCGATGTGATGTTAAAAATTTGAGCTTTATGAAAATACGAAAGTTCAGGTGTTAGACATTTAAATAAATAAGAATTCTGTGGCTTAATTTAAATATTCCACTCTTACTCAATGAGCAAATTTTGCTTGTAATATAGGCATAAAGTAAAAAGACAAAAGAGAGAGTGGAGCTTTTCTTGGTCAATAAAATTTAAATGAGGAGTACATGATATTCATTGCTCACAAAGCCCAGCATTATATGTCTATCTGAACAGCTTCATGTTACCAAATTCTCCATCTCCTTAATAGTCTTTAAATACTAAAAGTTCTCAATCATACTCTATTTAATGAAGGATACTTCTCAATTGTACAAACTCCATAAAGTAAACTTGTCATGTTTGTCTGATAAGGCTTGGAATCCCCACAACATTATAAATAAAAGATTTTGCAAGTTGGTCACATGATTCTCATTTAACTTGATTGTACGCATACCACTCAACTCCTCTTGTTTTAAAGTTGGGAAATTTGCATACCTAAGACACAATTCTTATGTATATTCACATCTCACATTCAAGTTGGTCACATTATACAATTTGGTGTTTTAAATCTATGCATTAAAATGTGTAATTTTAAACAGTTTAAAGTTTTTATTGAGTGATATTAAAGGTTTGAATACTATGTGCGTAAAAAAGAGAGTTCAAGTGTAAGATATGTCAATACATAAGAATTGTGAAAAATCACCATCACCATTTTTTTAGGAAAGTTTACATACATAGCACACAATTCTTAAGTATTTACACATCTCACACTGAAACTTTCATATTTACAAACATAGCACTAAGATGCTTTAAACCTATGCATAAAAAAGTGTATTTCACTTTAAAAAGCGATGATAGTGCTAATTATTATTTGATGTTGAAGATTAAAGTGCTATGTGTGTAAATATGAAAGTTTAGGTATGAGATATTTAAATACAAAAGAATTGTGTGGTATGTATGCAAATGTCTCTTTTTTAAACTGAAATACACATTTTTGTAAATAGATAATACTTGTGTGGCATTCCATTTAATGCTTGTGGCCCTAGCCTCTGTCTTTTTTTTCTTCCAATTTAATGTATTTGGTCCCTCCTCAGTTTATTTATTTATTTATTTATTTTTATGGGCTAGAATTGCTGTTGTTTTTGTGCAAAACTCTATTATTTATAATATAACAAAGCAGTCTTTTGGAAATTTGTTTCAAACAATATGTTATGCCAATAAAAAAATAAACAAGAAGGGGAAATGAGACTAACTTTCTTGCTTTTTCGTCTCTGAGTTTGGTGTCCATCTCCTTTGTTGGGGGGTACCACGGCAAGCTTGACGGCTCACAAGCATAAGGCTCGGTAGTGAAAAACTGTAACCTCAAACCAAAACAAAAAATCCGTTTCTAAGCTTAACACAGAGCAGCCAGCATTGATTGATCATGGGGAAAGATAAAAGCTGACTCGTATATACCTCACTGTTGAGGGCGTCGGCAGCCGTGCCTCGGTCGGGCGGGTCGAAGGAGAGGAGCTTTTCAATTAGTCTGATGGCCGGCAAGGGGAAGTCCTTTAAGCTCTCCCTCATACCGCTCTGGTATTGTTGCCTGGATCTATAGCTGGAGGCGTTTGGGAACTTGTACTTCTTCCAGTAATCCTCCGGCGGCGAACCGCAGAGCTTAAAGATCTTATGCAGTTGCTCCACCTCAGTCCGGCCAGGGAGAAGGGGGGTTCCGGCGATGAGCTCCGCCAGGATGCAGCCGACGCTCCATAGGTCTATTCCGACACCGTAATCGGTGGCGCCGAGGATGAGTTCAGGAGCTCGGTACCACAGAGTCACTACCCTGCTTGTCATCGGCTCGCCGCCTCTAGTGTCGAAGAAGCTAGCTAAACCGAAATCCGCAATCTTAAGATTCCCTTTATTGTCGATTAGCAGATTAGATCCCTTGAGGTCACGGTGAAGAACTCCGCGACGATGGCAGTGATCGAGGCCCGTAAGAAGTTGTTGCACATAGCACTTTATCTGTTTGACGAAATGATTGAAAGAGTTAATCGATCCGTGGATTAATAGAAAAAAGGGAAGAAGCGGGATGGTGGGGTAGAGACCTGGGGAAGGGAGAAATGGACGGAAGGTGAGGCAGCAAGTCCGGCGAGGTCGTGCTCCATGTAATCGAAGATTAGGTAGAGAGAAGGGGTTGTGGTGGAGGAGATACGGGAGGTGATTATACCGCGGAGAGTTACAACGTTAGGGCTTTCGAGACGGCGGAGAATAGCTATTTCCCGCGCCATGAATCGTATGCTTTCCGAATCCGTCGTCTCCGATAGCACCTTCTTGAGCGCCACTAATTCATTCGTCTGCCGATCTTTGGCTTTGAAAACATTGCTGTAAGTTCCCTTCCCAATCTGGAGACAGAGATTATTAATTGGCGTCAGAACAAAACGGCGATAGAGAGTGAGAGTGAACCAGACCTTGCCGATCTTCTCGAAGGAGTTGGCTGAGCGGGGAGACCAGCCGATGAGAGAGTCTGCAGCGACGGCGGAGAGCCAAGAGGGCCATTCAGTTAGGTCTATTGCAGGGGTAGAAGTGGTCGGGCTCGGGATCGGACTACGGCGTCGCTCCGGCAAAGCAGCGTCGGCAGTCCGGGGTTTATTGGATGGCTTAGGTTTCAGGGATGTGGGCGTTAGATCGCCCTCCACCGCAGGTTTTGCGAAGAAGCAGCCCATTCTTCCGGCGAAGGGAGTGGAGTTGGACGGTTCCGATTCCGATCTCCGGCGAAGTTCCCGATGTTCTCCTCAGGTAGAGAGAGAAAGAAGAGGGTAAGCTTTAGAATCGCGGGAGTCCGCGAAGGTCAACTTCGGCTCACAACTGAACGCCATAATACAAAATGGTCCGGAGTCTTGACAGATATTACGGAAATGCCATCATCTAATTCGTTACGCCATCAGACAAATTTGAAGTTTTCCAAAATTTTTGTCAACTTCAAAAATTGATGTTATATTAATTTAATAATCTTAGCAGATTATTTAAATATGTGACACTGTTACTAAATCCAAATATTTTGATAATTTTTTTTTTAACTGTAGGAAGTCTCAATTCATTTAATAGTGTTGTCCATCTAGCTATTTATTTATCATATTTGATGTTTCATCAGTATTTTTTTACGTTTAAGCATAAATCTCAATTTTTGTTTATAAAAAAAAATTAATTCAGATTTCATGATCATCTAAGTTTTCATTTCATCAAATTTATAATTGAACTAAGCATATTGGAAAGATGAACCCAACAATTCTAAAATTAGTTTAGGCTGGGTTAAATCAAGCTTAGATCAAACTGTTGAAGCATAAGTGGACACTTTGAATTGTCAATTGAATGGTCAAATGAACTCTGTATTTAACACATTTATGATCAAATCGAGGATTGAGACAAGAGAAATCTAACGAACTCAAGATAGTTCAATTATGACGTCATTAAAACACCCAAATCCTTAAAAAATTATCTATGATTAAGGGGCATCAGTATGAACCGTCTGATCGGGTGATTAAGAAAGTTATGTTTCAAAAGTTTAAAATGCCCCACTTTAAAAAGCTATAAATAGACTCATTCTCTTTATTTGTGGGGAGGACAAGAAATGACTGAGAACTGAAATTTCAAAGTCTGTTATAGAGAGAAAATCTGATGAGCGACCACCGCTCTCTGTAGCCACAAACCACTGTCAATCGCCAACCTCTATAGTAGCTGACAACCTTCGACCATTGCCCGCCATCACCATCTGTCGTCGTTGACCACTAGTCATCGGCGGCCACTACTTGGAACCATTGTAGATAGACTAACTTTTTTTGAATTTTCTGACACTTAAATTTTTTTTTAGTTTTATAATGAAAGTCCTTATTACTTATAGTCAATAACTTGTAGTTATATGAGATCTCGTAGCTAAAAATTATTAAAATATAAATAATACATGGGCTAATGTTCAATATTACTATTTAAATGTGTAGTTAAAAAATTGCAACATCTGGTTTATATTGCTGTATGAATAAATGGATATAAATGAGCCTTAGAGTGATTTTATAAAAGAATATTAAAATTTTCATCAGGCATGCTAAAAGTCACGTTACTAAAGAGGGAAAAATTTCATATTCTGTCTTCGAACATAGCTTTACGTGCGGATTTCTAATAATATACTGTCATGTTTGTTATATCGGACCCACCTAAAAAATATTAAAATGAAATCACAAAAGTTATTTGAGTGGAATTGCAGACTTCAATAACCCCGAAATAACATTTGAGGTGTTATTTCTAGATTAATAAAGTGAAATATATATATTTCTTTTCAAAAGCCTCAAAATAACCTCCTTATTGAAGTCTTAAAATAACATCTGCATTGTTATTTCAAGATTATTGAAGTGGAATATATAAATTTTTCTTCAATAACCCTAAAATAAACTCCACGATTCCACTTAATAACCCTGAAATAACCTCTGCTATGAGCACACTTGCTAAAAAAAAGGGGGATTTTGATTATCTGAACTCGAGACCATTTTTTTTTATAAATCCTTATGCATTTACATATAGAACACCAAATTCTTATGCATTTATAGATCTAACACTTAAACTTTAATTTTTACATTTATACCATCCAAATCTTTTAATATCAATGAAAAATACTCATATTTGAACTTCTAAAATGTAAAGTACGCCAAGATAAGGTGGCATATCTGTTAAAAAAAAAAAAAATAGCTGTTAGATACGTAAATACATGAGAATTGTGTAAATTTTCCTAACATAAATTGTAAGTTCAGTGCCCCAAATGTTGGAAGAAATTCCTTAAATTTCAAATAACTCTAGGAAAAGCTGGGTGCATTTAAATATAACTACATACCGCCCAATTCATATGTATTTGCATATTTAGCATCTAAACTTTATTTTTTACAATTATAGCACCCAAAGCTTTCATATCATGCCAAGAATACCATCATTTAAACATTTAAAAAGCGAAATACACATTCTTATGTAAGGTGTTATGTATATAGAAATTAATGTTTAGGTGTTAAATATGCAAATAAATAGGAATTGAGTGATCTGAATGTCAATGTCTAAAACAAAAGCATCATTTTCCCAAACTTGCATTTTTCTAACTAAATATTCTCCATCATTTATCAAACTCAGTCCAGGGAACAAAATAAACTTAGCATTACTGCAAATTTTTAGAGGCATTTACATACATACCACACAATTCTTATGTATTTACATATCTAACACCCAAACTTTAATATTTACATGCATAACATCAAAAATATCAATGTCGCATACTTTAAAAGTTAAATACACATTTTCATGCATAGATTTATCATACCAAAGTTCTATAAATATAAATATGAAGGTTCAGGTGTTGCATATTTAAATATACAAGATTTGTGAGGTATGTATGTAAATTCATCTTCTTTTACAGTACCTGAATTAGGTGGAAGAAGAAGGTCCAAAGTACATGCAAATGGGAGGATTGATTCTGGAGATGGATAAAATAGCTGAAGGAATGGTCCAGATACCATCACCACATATCAGCCCAGAAGCTACAGCTCCAGCAAAGTCATCAGCCTCCTCCTTCTTTAACCTCTCCCACACAAACAGTATCACTGTCCCAACAAACATGTCTATCGCAAAATAAGCCCCAATATAAAAAGGCACCGCCATCGCCATCGGAATCGGAATATAAGCCGATATAGTCGCCGGCGTAACATCCCTCGCAATATTTATCACAATAGCCATGACGAAGAACAAGCAGCAGATCTCCAGACAATGCTTCGGAAGCGCGGAGAAGCCCTCGATCCCGAGAATCGCCATTTCCCGATATATAACAGCGTAAGGAGCTTTGTACATCCCATCAGGTGAGCCGATGTCAAACGCGGTCCAATAGAGCCAGAAAGTAAGCGGCGCGACGATGCAGCCGAGGGCGGTGCCGACGATCTGAGAGACGAACATCGAACTTGGAGAGGAGAGGGTTAGGTAACCAGTTTTGAAATCCTGCATCAGGTCGGCAGCGGTGGAGACGATGGACATCATGACGCCGCATGCGGCGAGGCCGGCGATGACGCCGCCATTAGAGCCGACAAGGGCGGAGAAGGTGAAGAGGCCGATCTTGCCGTAAGTGGAGGAGAGGCTCCAGTCGGTGAGGCCGGTGCCGTAGGAGTTGCAGAATGCGAGAGCGGGTGCAACGAGATAGCAGGCGAGGACAAGATACCATCTCAGCTGAGGAAAAATGATGGGGATTGTTGCGGTGGATATGGCAGCAAGGGCGATGTACCCTGAGGTGGCAAACCAAGCGGGTATGCTGTCTTTGACAAAGGTTGTATTACGCAAATTCTCCTCTAATGTCTTGGAGTCGTCAGCTTCTAAAGGACATCAATACTTGATAAGAAATGGTTAGGCAAAACTCAGATTCTGATGGTGAGGGTTCTACAACTCAAGATGTGGATGGAAATTTAACAATGCATATGACTCAAGTAAAGAGAAGTGTATAAAATTCGTCTCTTGATTTTTTTGCAGGGTTCATTTTAGTCCGCAACTTAATATATGATGTAAATTGGAATAGTGCCCAGAAATAGGGCTGTGAATTTAGCTCAAAGATCATTAATCTCTTCACAATCAATTCGAATTTTGGCTCCGATTGAAATCGGAACGAAATAAAAAAGCCCAACTATGAGCCGAATCTTTAGATCAAAATTTTTTTTGAGCTGATTTTGAGTCATACATAAATTGGCTCGAACTAACTCGAGATTGTCTCGTAGCATTTTTTATTTATAAAAATTATATATATAATGCTATGTGAAGTAAAATATAAGAGTAATGAGACAATTTCAAGCTGGAATGGATCCAAATCACTCAATTTGAGTCAGTTAATTTCAATTTTAAGCCAGATCGAGCGAATTCTGCGCCAAAACAAATCCAATTAACTCAATTGGAGCCAACTCATGATGATTTGGACATGAATCGAGCTCATTAATTTTCGAGCGGAATTGGCTTGAAATCGAATATAACGAGCCCCGAATGACTATTTCAGTCTTAAAAGTTTGGAGACTAATTTGATATTTTTACACTGGGGCTAAAATGGTCGCATGTAAACGGTAAGAGGATGATTTTGACACTTTTTTCGGTTAAATTAAATTGGGAGATAATTAAGAAAGTTAAATCAGAGAATTATGGAATTGATTGGAACAAGTAATTGTTAAACAGATGTTCAATAACTTGAAAGAGATGGATAAATATCATAATCAGTGATCACAACAAACAATTCTTCTCGGTTTAAACCAGCCGTGAACTTTCAGCATACCGCCTTATTAGTATTTAAAAAAGGCTTCTCTTTTTTTGGTTGGGGCACAAATGTGAACTATCAATGGAGATATAAAAAGGAGAAATTTACATAGGTAGCACACAAATCTTATGTCATTACAAAGCTCACACCTAAACTTTCATATTTACTCATATCACTTTGGTGTTTTAAACCTATGCATGAAAATATGTATTTGACTTTTAAGAAGTTATAAAAGTGACATTTTTTATGTGATATTAAGGATTTGAGTGCTGTGTAAATATGAAAGTTTAGGTGTGAGACATATAAATACATAAGAATTGTGTGCTATGTATGTAAATGCCCCAAAAAAGCTATAAAAGTAAGTGATTAAAGTTATAAACAGCATAAATTTCTTGGTAATGCTGTTCGCTGGTAGAAGCAAGACAAAATACCTTGATTTGCAACATGAGGAAGAGCTTTACGTTGTGATTGTGCATTCAACATTTCCTTTATGGTTATGTAAACTATTTTCACCAAGTTGTAGAGACCATCCCCAAGTATAAGAGATATTGCAATGAAGACCTGTAGAAAATGTATTATTGAGTATTTTAGACAAACAAAACAGTTTCAAGCTTCAAACTAGTTTATAGATGGCATTCACTCACTACTTGGATTTCAATTTTTATGATCGGTAAGTAACAACATAAGATTTAGAGATTAATAGGCATGTATGCAAGATTTATGATTTATTCTAACTTATCTTAAATAAAATGGCAATTAATCACTACATATTTTGTTTAATGATGAAAAAGGATTCTTTGCAACGCCAATGATAGCTTTATTATCATAGAACAACCTCATAGATTTTCCATTTGACAGTCTCAGGTCCCCAAGTAGCTTATTTGGCCACAATGCCTGCACATAAGCCAAGGTAGCTCTAAATTCATCTTGTTGACTGCTTCTTGATAAAATTGTCAATTTCTTGCTCCACCAAGCAACCAAATTCCCCTATGCATAACTACATTACCCTGTAGTTGACCTTTGATCTATTATTGATCCATCCTAATCAACATTAGTAACCATTTCAATGAAAAGCCACAAAGCTCCCATACAAGACCAATCACCACCAAGTAGAAGTAAGAAGATTCAAATCGGACACAGTCAAAAGCTCCTTTTTCATTCATTTCTTTCATTTTTATGCACAATGGATGTCTAATATAGAATACAGACTACTGAATTCAAATTACAAATTTTGAACAATAATTAAGGAGGGAAAGAGGCTGGTAGTTCGCATGTGAATGTGTACTTGCATGGAGGCAATGCTTCATTTGAATTTCCATTTGGACAGAGAAGGGCCAAGTCACTTGATCTTGGACTTGGAATCCCTTTGGGTTGTGCATATGGAGGCCCTTCTTGCCTTGAAATTGCATGAGAAAAATCAGCCACCAGCATAGAATGGTGATAATCATTTAATCCCCTTCTACAACTAACTTCTAACAACTATGTACAAAATAATAACCAACCGTACAAGTTTAAACATTATAGTTATTACAATAATAAGTATCACAAATAATCAAAATGATATAGGATTTTAATGCTACATCATCTGCTATTCTCTTTTTTTTTAGTAGGATTCGTAGTGTAAAGTGACTCACAACCAAGTATCCTTGTTTCATTTAGTGTTTCTAGAACATAATTTTGTCGGCAAATAAGCCACTTCCAAGCAAAAAAAAAATATTTAGGTGACGATTCTTTTATTTTAAACTTCATAGAGAGAATATTATCTCACTCTAATCACTTTCAATAAAGAAGATATCATCCAAATATATAATAGTCAGTTTTTCTTTGACAGAGAATGATACATCGGTGCCTATCCTAAGGGCAAATTTATCTTTTGTATTTCCAAGGGCAATTTACTCTTTTATTATTATTATTATTATTCTTAGGTATAAATAGGCTTATTAAGTTTAGTGTTGGGTTTTATGCATGAGATTGGATTGTGCGCCTTAAAGTTTAGGGTTTGGGAAAGATTTCCTACCTCTCGAATTGTACGAATTGGAAGAGATCGCCTATTTCTTGATTTGTAGGTGTTTATCTTTTGTATTTTTGTTGAGTTGTTTAAATTATTAAAAAAAATATTTGTGTTTGCCCTCATTTCTATGAAAAAACGTGTTGATTTTGACGTCATATCATATCAATTTGGTATCAGAACAGTTACTTCTAGGAATCAAAGAAAAAGGATCGGGTGTCGGGCGTTAGAGTTTTGTTCCACAACGTGAACTCGACATACAGGGAAAGCCACAACAAAATCACAACTTACCAAGACCCAAAACTCAAGCCTTTCAACTTGCAGGGAAGGCCACGAAGGAATAGTGTCTTCCGACTTTTGTGAAGACCGACAAAATCGCAGCGTAGAAAGATCTGTAGCCCACGTCTCTCATGTTTCTGTGTCGTCTACCCGATCTAGTCGCAAACAGAGCTCCCTAGTAAGGCAGTGATTAGGACGTTGCGTACAAAGACCCGAAACTCTTATTTTTCTTTTCCTCCTGTGTTGTCTACCCAATAGAGTCGCGATCAGAGCTACTTGGAAAGGTTAGCGATTGGAAAGCGGCGTATAGAGACGTGAAACTCCCAACTTTCGTAACTCCAATCTTTCTCCTATTCCAGCTCTTCCCTTTAGCAACAATTGCGATTCCAAACTAGTTGAGAAGACGGCTACCGGACATTCACGATTGGAGCTACCTGAGAATCCATGACCGGATTGGAGTGATCTTGGATCACTAACTTGCAAAACAGTTGCTCATTCATCTCATCCGCAAGCAAACGACAAATTTTAGCATATAAATTTTTTTTCTTTTGTGATAAAAAATAGATAAAATCTGAGAAGAATGACAGCCAAGAAAATAAATGATTTGGAAAATGAATTAGATGAAGAGATTAGTCAAATTAGATCTGGGATAGAAGAACCACAAAGAGGATAGGTTTTCTTCCATGAAGAATTGAATGGAGGACAGATCTAAGAGTATGGGGGGAATTCAAGAGATGATAAAGAGGCTCATTGAGATGCAATCTAAGACCCATCGACGGCTCAAATTGCAAAACCTTAATATATTGGGATAAACAGAGGAGGGAGAGGAAGTTTTGGTGGAGATAATAGGATTAAGAAGTTGAAGAAATTGATCTTTGAGGAAGATTCACATGGATGGGTGATGGAGCTAGCACACATGGAGCATTGTATCGAACAGCTACAACCACGATTATAACAAAAGTTCAAACAGTGGAGGTCCAGATAGAAGTTACACAAGACGAGAATAATATGCCGCGACCGGGAGGCACGCTCAAATGTCTTACAGAGACAGAGATTTAGGAGAAGCAAACCAACAGGTTTATGTTTTCGGTGTGATGAGAAGTTTGCTTAAGAGCACCGCTACAAGTATAAAAAATTATAAGTTCTCATAGTGCATGACGGGACGGTAAAGGATGAAGGAATAGAGACAACTACGGTGGTGGAGGAGGAACACTCATTTTTTTCCACCTAGAGGACAAGATATCTTTTGGGAGGTATTGTTACGTCGGTGTCTAGCCTAAGAGCAATTTTGTCTTTTATATACCTAAGGGAAATTGTCTTTTATTATTGTTGTTGTTGTGTAGGAATAGGCTTATTATGTTTAGGATTGGATTTTTATGCATAATATTAGATTGTGAGTCTTATGTTTAGGGTTTAGGCGAGATTTCCTACCTCTCAAATTGTAGGAATTAGGAGAGATAGCCTACCTCTCGAATTGTAGGTGTTTATCTTTTGTATTCTTGATGAGTAGTTTGGATTATTGAAGAAAATATTTGTGTTCATCTAAATTTCTATCGATAAGTGTGTCGATTTTGACGTCGGATCGTACCAAAAAATTTGACAAACATGGTGGATCTAACTGACATCAAACAAATCCATTCTTTACTAACATTGTAAATCTATCAAAACTTTATGATTGAAATGATGCCTTAAGATCCTAACATCAATTTTTTTCTCTTATCTTTCAACTTGAGAGAAGGTTGCTCTTAGACTCGATAATGGCTTGTTATTAAGTATTTTTCCTCAAAGAACATCCAAATTTATATCGAGGCCGAGCACTGATTATAGATCTGATCTTTTTCATTTTTTTTTTTTTTTGTGATAACAACTCCCTCCAAGACACAACTCCAAAAATATCAAATTATTGCCATTTTTTACTATAATATTGAAATGTTCAACCAAAAATAGTTTAAATTATCTATCATATAGGGTTGTCCTAACCTCAAATATCTATAAAGAATTATCTTTACTAGAGTACATTCCCCACACTAAAACTTACATCTCTTTATTGGTTTTGTAGAACATTACTTTGTCTCTGGTCTCTTTAGAAATTGAGTCGATAAAGCATGGCATTACTACGTTATTCAAGATTTTGAATATTGGATCATTTGAATGTAGAAGATACTACACATGTTCCACTAAAAGTCTACTTTCCCTTTTCCATAGATAAGCATCATAATGAATTCCAGCAAAAGGATAATTCCTGCCTAATTTAAATTTTTAAAAAACTATAAAAAATAAATACAAAATTTGAATTCATGAACTACTGTCCATGGATTTAGTTTAAACTTGTCTACTCATGATCCTGGATTCTGGTCTATGCCTTCCATTACTATTCCATGAAATAATAGCACTAACAGACAACCCCAGCCCTCTTGAACCCACTCTCAATAAGGGTATTTTCATGATAAAGCTACACTAATATAGCTTTAGAGTAGAGCGTAAGTAAAAAAATCCTAGTAGAATCTGTTAGAAAACTAATGCATGTCAAGCCAAGAAAAACCAGGATCAAGCAATTGATTAGAAACAAAATATCGACAAAAAAATTGTAAGGGTTAAACCTGGGCAAACAAATATAAGCAAAAAAATAATTTTTAAAAAAATATATCCATGCATACCTTGTAACCATAAAGCCCTTTAAAATCATTACTTTCAAGGTTATCTGGATACCAATCTCCTGCACGCTTACTAATAAACGGCCAAAGAAATCCCCAAGAAATTATGGCCCCAAGAAGAACAGAACAATTAACTATGTGTGGGCAAATAAGACCACACCCAACGTATGTTGCACTAAAATCAAAATAGAACCTGTGAAGCATAAAAAACACAGAATGTTTGTGATAGACTGCAACGCATTGAAGATAATTGTGAAAATTGTGAAACATAAAATACAAGAATGCAATGCTCCCACCAACTCGCCTAAAAAAATTAAATGTAAGATAAAAAAGAATGGGCATGGAGAATATTAAGAGGCTGTTTGGTTTGCTGAATAAGTGGTGTAAAATGAATGGAATGTAAAGTAATGTATTGTGTTTGAAATACTTTGGAGTTATTTGGTTCAGTGCAAAAATATACAGACTTTATTTTTTTTATTTGGTTTGAACTAGAATAAAAAAAATGTATTTCAAATTATGTGAAGTTTGGCAGCCGGTTGTGGCAACTAAAGAATGAATTTTAAATAAATTTGTATTTTACACGGCATTTGGAATTTTCCAACCAAACGTCTGGATTTTTAAAAACTCTTTAAAAACAATGCAGTGCACTCCTTTTGCAGCCAACCAAACAACTCCTAAATAAATAAAACAAGTATGCCCAGACTGTTAAAACCCCACTACAAAGATCAGCTGAGCACAAGAATGTTACCAACAAGTGGAGAATGAATATAAATTGACACTTGCATGTCTAAATTTAATCTTCTAAGAAAGATTTCTACGGTACATTTTAATTAAGGCATGCCAATCTCCACTTCTCGCGAAGGAAATACCCAAATGAGATGAAAGGTTTCACAACTAACATGTTCGTGTATCATAAAGATGGCAAGTAGAAATTTAAAAAAAAAAAAAAACATTACGTATTATTAAAAGCTGTGAGGCCCAAGGTAGGAAAATTATCAAAACCACAGGAATCCCCAACACCGCTGAAGAACCACTTAAAGCAACTCCACAAGAAGCTCAGGCTTAGGTATTTTCCAAGGCAATGAACTTGCTTCCTGAAAAATATGAGAAACCCGTCATAAAGAAGACAAAATTTTCAACTTACAAACTACAAATAAGTAAAAATCAGTTCAAAATGTAAAAAAAAAATCCCACAATAATATTCTCCACTATTGAATGATGTATCTTCATGTGTCCTCATGAAATATTTTTGTAAGAGAACATAAAGCATTCATGGAAAAAAAGAAGCAAGCAAGAAACAGTCCTAGAGCCTTTAAAAACTGTCAAACAGAAATAAAATTGTAGACAATTTAATCGGATAAAGATGGTGAGCCTTAAGCAATGGTCAAGTTGATCTAGAGATCATAGATTTAAGTCATAAAAATATCCTTTATAAATATAGAGATAAGATTGTGTGCATCAATCACTTCCTAAACTTCGCATTGGAAGAAGCTCCATGCAATAAAAATACCGCCCTTTTGATCAATAGACAGTTTTTTAGGCAACTCATAGAAGACAAGGCAAACATCCACAGCTTGATTTCAGCCAACCAGGCCTAATTCAACAGCTACTTGTTTTATCCAATACTACTATCAGAGTACAGGTAATCGAGCAAAACCTGATTACTGCTACACAAATAAAAGCAAGCAACTATCCAAAACATGCCACCCCTCAACTGAGTCCTCAGTTGCTTTCTCTGCAACTCAAAAGAAAACAAGACCTCCTCCCACAGCTTCATTTCGGCCAACTGGGCCTAAGTAAACAGCTTCCTGTTTTATCTCATCAGATTGATCAACTATTAGAGTATCACATCTTGTGTGGACACTTAACATGATCAAGCAGGTAGAAACTAATAAAAAATAGATGTCAGAATAGAGAACACATGACATCTAGTCAAAACCTAAAAAGACATTTCATGACACGAAATACATGTACAAATTCACTTACATCATTGCCTAGGTGAGTTCAAGTAAAAAACCTCATCCTGAGAATAACTCAGATATTATACCTCTGCGGAAACTCTAAGGAGACAACTAAGTGTACCAACTCCGACCAAATGTACATGCAACCTACCACCTTAAGCAAAACTCAAAATGCTTTGTCTACTCAAATAGAGATCAAGAACACAAGCATCAAAATATTGAAAAGACAAGGATTGGATATAACACAATATTGTCATCAAAGGACACCTTAGATGTGATTTCTGAAGTGGAAAAATCCCATAAAGGATCAAAAATCAGATATGTAACTCTCATTTGTGAAAAAAATTGAAATGCAACTTGAAACCATCAACCAGATGTGCAAGGAAATAGGCATCTCCAATATCTTCCCTAAGTATAATGGAAGTGAACTCTTCTTTGTGCAACAAGTTATCTCAGATGAAAGGTATAAAAGAGATGTAAGCTTTGGAAACAAGCTAAAAAGGAATTAAATAATATAATCCAAAAAAGATGTCAATCCTTGGTTCTCCAACATTGTTAGTAAGTATGTAGAAAGCTATAAAACTGCAACCATAACCAAATTTCACACTTGTCTGGCTCTCAATTTCTTCGCTACTTCATCCCTTTTGGAATTATCTTAGTGATTGGGGAATCAAATGGCTTGCAAAGAAGATATGGAGAAAGATTGATAGAGATGGCTCCCATGAGGATTGAGTGCTAGGCCGGAATATTGCGCAAGTCCAGTAGATTGGTAGAGAATCAAAAGAAATCAAGGTTCCTGATAAATCTCTTCTATCAAGAGCCACAAAATCCTCTTGCCATGAGGTTCGTTATCGAGTAACTAAATAGCCAACCTAGAGCTAACTCTAAAAATTGGCATCACCAAAACTCTACACCATAAATTATGTATAATCACTTGAATGATTTCTTGTAATAAACTTTCCCACCTTTTGTAACAAAAAAACTTCTACAACAAAAAGGGAATGTTGCGGGCAAGTAAAGGAATTTCTTCTTTGAACATCTAGTAAAGAGGAGAATGAAGTTTTTTAATCAGATTGAGAGAGATTGACTGAACGAAAGTAGAGAACTCTTCCATCCTTTGTAATCACCTAATGATATTATCTTGAATAGAGAAGTAGTTTATTACCGCTAAACAAGAATCCCATATTAAAATAAAGCCTTCTCCTGCCATTTATATTTACTGTGTTTCTCTCTACTCAAGCTTTTAGAACAACATAGCATATAAATATGCAAATAAGAACAATCATAAAGACTAGAAGTTGATCATGTCAAGTGAATCAAAATTGGTAAAAAAAGAAACCATTCATGACAAGTTGAATATGGTGGAAATAGTAATACTAAGATGGATGAGTAGTAAAACTAGAAAATTAAAGTAATAAATGGTTATATCAAAAAGATTACAGAAGTAACACCTATTTGAGAGCACAATATGGCAAAGAATATGATTCTTTTACCATATACAATAAGGCGCAATAAATGAATCAATAAGGCAAATAGATTAAACAAATAAGAAATGATTAGAAAGAAACAAAAAAGTTAAATAAAGGGCAAGACCAGAATTAGTGTAAAGACTTTGTCAAGCAAAGTTAAACTTAATGTAGCACTCAGTATAACTGAATGGAGACGATTATTCAAGTTAACCTCAAGTGATTAGAATAAAACAATGATGCTAATGGTGAAGTTTCGGCACTCAACGTCGGGTAGTAAATAAATTAAGTTTATATATTCTACAAAATAGAAAATGCTTGGAGATATTTAAAGACCCGACTATGATATAAACATTCAGAAATAACTGCAATAACAATGAATTAAGCCATAAGCATTACCTCGCAAGCTCAGCTCCAGCATTGGTATGAAAGCTATTTATCAACAAAGCTGTGGCTGTTCCACTCGGGTACGTAAGCTTGTAGTCAATTACCATCAACTGAAAATATTTTATTATGAAATATGATATCAATTAAAGAACATAAGAACCATCAAACATAAACCTCCAAAAAAAAAGTTGAAAGGTTATAACCGTTGCAGACTAATATTCACTTCAAACTATTTGCTCTTTTTAGTCCCTGCAAACACACTTCTAGCAATAACCCGTAACTTAAAAAGTTTCACAAACTCCCTCTGCCATTCACAGTTAAATACAAAAGCACACGCATCCACCAATAGTGACAGGATAAAAACAAATAACCTATAATATCACCGGAGATTCAAGATAGTAAGACTTTGAACTATTTACAAAAACATTGTCTAATTTTGAAGTCTATATCTTTTCGATTATACTGAAATTTTTGGAAGCTTACCTTGCACAAACTATCAGTAATTATTTCTAAAAAATATAGCCAATTTTGGCTTGGTGGAAGGGAAAACAATGTAAACATCCAACAAGAAGATTAAAAAGCTTAACGGACACTTTCTATAATGATTGAGAAAAAGGCATGGAGATGACATGCGGGTGGCAACATTTTCAAATCATACAATCAACAGTGGGTTCTGATATAATAACATGAAGCCTAGTAGGAAGAAAATCATAAAAATCTAAAATATAAGAGCATTGAATAGCTAATAGCAACTTGGAGTATGCTTTATTGCCTATACGTGTATGTGTTACATATATGAATAAATAGGCAGCTATATTGGTATATAAATTATAGAATTCATGTATATATAGCAAAAAGTCTAGCTATATAGGTTATATGGTAAGTTTGTGATGACTTCCCATTTTTGATAATTAAAAGTAGTATGAAAAATATCAGGCATGGATGACATAATGATAGCGATGATAATGGCTATGATGATGAGGATAATGATGATGTTAACAACGATCAAGTTTGTGATGACTTTCCATTTTCTGCATTTTTTTCTAAGATGGCCAGAAAACTAAATGTGTGGCTCAAGGAAGCTGACGTAGAACATGTTAGCATCTTGTACTTTCTAACGCAAAGTTAGGATAAAAAACATTAAGAAAAAAAGTAAAGCAAAGATCAATTTCTTTTGATGTAAAATCAGAAAACATGCAACATTTGTTTCAAACAATAATGTAGAAGTTGCAGAAAATATGAAATTCTACAATAAATCTCGGGCCTAATATAAAATTCAGCGGGGACTAGAATTTACACCACAAAAAAGAAGCGTACATGCATCGAGATTAAGAAAACTTCAATCATGCACATAAAATAATAATTAAACAATTCAATAAAAAGAATAACAATAGAAAACAGCAATCAAAAGATCTAGGTTTCATGTCAAATTGTCAATATAAAAAGAATCATCTCTTAAGTTTCAAAATTTTGCAAAGCGCTAGAAAAATCCACATTCAACAACACACAACTTGAGAAAATATTATTCAAACATTCAATAATTTTTACAATCATCAAGGGTCCTATTTATAACACAAAACGGCCCAAAAAAGTAACTTTAAGAATCCTCCAAATTTCACTTAATACAAGTTTCATTTCTACAAACTAGAATCACAACAAGGACAAGTTTTCGATCTTAAATTATGCAAATCAGTGAAGTTCCAACTTAAAGTTTCAAATATTCAAGCAAGTCTCGCTCTCCCCACCACCTTACAAAATTGAGAAAATAAGTCAAACATAAACTAGTATCAAAAAAGGAAACTAGTCAACCATGGCTATGGTGATGGGGAAGGAAGAACCAGTAGAAGGGGACAACCAAACAAATGCCACTAGAGTAGTTGGGGCAGAAACAAGTCACACAAAGAAAATTAAAAAGAAAAATGTCACGAAAGCTTTAGTGCCAACAGGCAAACAACCAAAAAAATAGCTATAATGCCTTGCTACAAAAGGGCAAACAAACAAAGCAAATAAAAAAATAAATCTAGCAAACACAATATTTCTTATGAGAATAATAAATTTTCAAATCAATCAATGGACAGCATATCAAATAAGTTGCATGTTGGATCACAAAACTGGAAATAGATGCAGCTGAATCAAAACAGCTTGCAGCAGTAAACCAAACCTAATGAGATAACCAAAGTACTAGAGAGCACAACCCATTTTAAATAAAATCGTCATCATAAGCATTTTTTTACAAGAAAGTCAATTACAAAAAAAAATTAAGACATGAAAAAAATAAAGCAACATTAATCCATATAACTTATGTTTCCGATGAATAAAGGGTTTCATATTTGCATCATTCTAACAAATTTGAAATAATTCAGCTACAACAAATTAATTGTTTGATATTTATCATTCAAATCTAGATAAAATACTTGTGCCCTCTTGAAGATAACCCATGAATCTTCAAAAATAAGTCAATTACCCAAAAGTCACAAGAGTGTAGTCAATAGTGAATACAATCTCCATACATTAGGTAGTTTCTGGACCACAATAAGTAGATCTATAAGGTAAGATGTTGAATGGGAGTTCTTAAGCAGGACATGAAAAAGAAGAATCAACAACAATAGGTTCATAAGAAAAAATCAGCTTAAATACATTCAAGCCTGAAATGATATCAGAACTTCCATAAATTTTCACTCAGTGCCTATTTGTCAGAAAGCATTATATGATTATATAAAGCACCATGAATTTTCAAAGAGGTTTACCAAAAATAAAGAAGGTTCCTGAGTAGATTATTTGCAAGTAAACAATTACCGGTCAAGAGACGAACAAACTTGTCTTCCAGCATGCATGGGCACATTTTGGATGGCATAATTATCATGTTTGATCAAGATAATATGGCCTGGGAAGTGTTGTGGCCGTGATGGATGTCAAACTAAAGAGGATCATCACCCTCTATCCACAAATTTACAGTGAAATGGAAGTTCTTAACAGAAATAAGGTGCCTCTACTGTGAAAGTACAGCAAGCATCTCAAAACTTGATGACTAACCATCGTGCCTTCAATTTGCCTTCAGCAAGGGTATACACTTCTCCACAGCAAAGACACCATTTGAAGTCTGCCTAGGGAACCTACCACAAGCTCCTTTGATTGAAATTTCCCCATCACCCTAACATTGATGATAGCCTTGAAGTTGACTAAGAAAAAGCATAGAGAATCCTAGAATGCAATTGCAGGATTCATACCAATTGTTATAAAGCTCAACAAAATAATAGCCTTGCGAGTGTAATTCATCTAAACCAACAAAATATTCGAGCAAGTTAAAATTTTCTGCATACCAATTTGATGACTAAAGGCCAAAAATGGGCAGAAATGCTTAAACAGAAAATCTAACATGTAAGCAGATTATATAAGCATACGAGGAATGGTATGCCCACAAAGTTTCAACTAATTTATCAAGTTGATCTCTTTTATTGGAATCGAGGAGCTTATTAACGGGATCCACCAGATTCTTTTTGAAGGCTTCAGGCAAGAAAAAAAAGGTGGTCTCAATGAAAAATTTTTTTAATTGTTAAATGTCATCATAACCATACATGTTCCACCATTGGAAAGTACTAGAAAAAATATTGGCCGAAAACAATTTCAATTCCTCTTGAAATAGTAATCTCTCAATACTAAGAATTCTCTCATAAATACAGTCTCTAAGGAAAGCATCTAAAATGTTATAATTCCCCCGAAGAGGATCTCAGACATCAAGATTATTAATGCATTATAAGGCATATATGAGCCAAACAAACATTATAGATGGTCCATATTTATCGAAGAACTATACTAAAATAATTTTTGTTTGCTTAATAAACATTTAGTCTTGGTGAAGTATTGTCTCTCTTCTCACTTCCACCATCATTATCTATTTAATTCAAACACATTGATTTATTGAACATTATTCCCTAGTGTTTAAACACAAGCATACGCACACATAGAGAGAGAGAGAGAGAGATCATTCAATAGTCGATCCAACAAATGAAACTGTTAACCTTAGCATATGACACCAATCCCCTCCCATAGAATTGAATGTTCCGCGTGCATCGCAGCATTTTTCATATAGTTATCATGATTTGATCAATCTATGGAATGCAAATTTGACAAGTTTTCATTGAATTTCATAAAAAATTGTGACATATTCTTCCATTTGTTCTAAAGCTCATTCTGTCACATCTTCACCGAATTTTGGCAAGGGATTTGTGTTTGTGCTATTATGCTATTTTGATCACGTGATAGATGAGCAAAATAATGATGTGGTGATTATTGATTAAACTCTATGATTTATATGATGAGAGGTATTATTGTTGTCGTATCTATATTATCATTCTAAATTAAATTAACACTATTATTATTTGTATATTATATTGCATGAGGTTTCACTCGTTAGCAGAAAGAAAATAAAGAGAGAAGAGGACTGAACCAATCACTTAGAAAGTGAGAAGATAGAATTTAGAGGCACAACATGAATAATAGTCAATTGACAAAAACAAAATATTTTCCAAGTTAAATGACAAATAACTAAGTCGTCTAATCCAATATAAAGATAACAAGCCTCCCTAATCTCCTTTGCAATAAAGCAAGATAGAGGAAGTAAAAGAGTAAATAACTCTTAGGGTTGCTTTTGAAAAACATACTGATGAGGCACCCAACAATGTGAAACTCTTTGATGCTTGAGTTAAAATCTTCTTGTATTATTGACATCTAACCGTTAAATGTACTTCTTTGTGGGAATATTAAATTTGAAATAGCTTACCAGTAATGTTAGGTTAGCCAAAGTAACTAGTTTGAATTGACATGCTCAATGCATGGAGAGTTTCTTGAAAATTTTTATATAGTCCTCTTTAAAATTCTGAAGTTTAAGTGATTTGTACTTGTTACTAGTTAAGTCATCACCATAATTAATATTTCACTAGGATTATATTTTGTTGTAGTAGTTTAGATTGTCTAGTGTCAAAAATATATATCCATGTACTTCTAAAAATATTATGTCTTTTGAGATTATTTAATAATTGCACTATAGTGATAGAATGGAGCATACGTGTCAATAGCACAAAATTGTCGTATTGTAACCAATAGCATAATAAAATACACATATTATGTTAGTTGAATATCAAAGCAAAAGAGGACAAAACAACATGCTCTATTTTGTTAGTTTGGTTTCTCAACCAGTTTTTTTAATCGATTCAGCTAGAATCCATTGTGAGAGATAGTGATGTGTACATAATAATTCACAATATTCAAACTCTAATAGAAAAAAAAAGGAATCTTCATGTCGGCCAAGCATACTTGCATATAACATGAAAATTATTAGTAAATAGAAAATCATGATTTAGAAGATAATAAAAATTAAAGTGAGGAGGCTATTTTGGTGTATGATGTTGATGATGAATCCCACTATGAAAGTTTAGATTTTATAATTTTTGGGAGTTGAAAACCAAGTATTTTTTAGGAATTGATCATATACTCCAATGTTTAACAAATTATCTTGATATTATGTATTGTTGAGAACATGACAGTTGTATTTGCAAAAGATTTTTTTTTTGGTCGTAATGGTTTATTTTTTTATCCGATCGTCTTTCGTTAACCTTCATCTATGTTAAATGTTGACATTCGTTTAAAATATTAATATAGCATTTAAGTTTTTTTATGATTTGTGCCATTTTTAAAATAGTTGCTTATGAGCTAAATGATATACACTATGGCTCCTGATGGCTTTCGATTTATAGTGCTCTATGAGTTGTAGACAAGTTTGTAATGGAGGTAAATGTAATCAAGCGCAATCCACGCAAAATGAAGTCAAAATCCTTCTCAATTATATTTGTGAACAAAAAACAATTGGTAATCCTTCTTTCAATATAAATCAAAATATGAAATCCAACAATCCCAACAAGATGGCCTACAAACTATTTTCTAAACAAGTTAAATGTTAAATAAATTGAACATATCAAATAAGGCAATTGAAAAATGTTTGGTGTAAATATTTCAAAATCTAGAAATGCACTATAAAATTATAGAGAAAATATGTATGAAAGTAAAGAAACATCAAATTTTCTACAATTTAAGTTCATTTTCATATCGTACATGTTGTATTGCCATTTACAACAATTCCATTCAAAGCAAAACAATAGACAAAAATGGCCTAAAATTAATTTTGATGAGAACTAGAAGTACCTTTCGAAGTGCAACAAGACTGAAGAGCCCTAGAAAGCTAACAACAAACATGAAACCTATCATCCAACCCAAGGAAGGGATTTTAACATCCTCGGGCCTGTTACCAGGATAATCCTTTCCTATGAGTTCATATGTCCTTTGATCCATAGAAAGCATATATGAACCAAAACCTCCTGTGAAAGAAAGTTATTAAAACATATGCCCCATGAAACAAAGCTCAGAACCATAGTAAAAACAGTATACCACAACAATAATGACATAGACAACTTTAAGGGTCCATTTAGAGTAGCCACAGCTCCTTGTAACAGTTCTTATCAAATCTTTGTAGGGAATGCCATATTATTTTAAATTTTTTGTTGCAATTTATTTTAATTTAAAAATTCAAACAACAATTTTCTTATAGCTACCACATTTTAGCATATATGATTGTAAAATTTTTGAAAAGCAGCAAGAAATTAATAGCCAAACAATAGCATGATGTTGGTCTAAAAAGTAAATCAATGAATAAGTTAACCCCCAATGGACCCTTACACTTGACTAAATCATAGCATAGTGTGGCTCACTTCGAATAAAGATAAAGTATGAAAAAACACTACATAGTGATAACATATCATGAAGTAGAAAGAAATCAATACAAATTCTAGTTTTCAAATTTTATGACTAGAGAGCTAAGTAATTCTTGTAAAGCTGAGTTACATGAGGAAGAAAGAAATCAATGGCATCACTAATTTTTTTAAAAAATGGCCATGAAACTAATTACTTCTCATAGAACTGAGTAATATGGAATTTTTTTTTAAAATAACCGGATAAATTGACTGTCTTCACTGAGATAAATAAAGACAAAATTATCTAAGAAGTTGTTGAAATGAAAACGGAATGTTAATGATTAAACTAATAGTTATAATCATGAACTCCAAGCATTCCAGGAAGGGTTCGAGCTGTCACAAGTATCCATGCAATCTGACACAAAATACCTTACACTGCGAGAATCTAAAAGATTGAATATTTATAGAACCAAAAAACAAAGAAAAAGCAAGTTGAATCGTGAATACTTGAAATAGAAAGAATATTTGTTCTCGTTTGTTGCTATAGCAGCGAATTAACAGCCAAATAAGCCGAAACAAAACAAAAACAGAAGGACAGGCAACTGAAAAAGTAGAAGAGAACTCACCACTGAAGGCCAAACCATAGCAAGCAACCACACAAGTCTGGATGACGGTATTTTCCTGGCGCGTAAAAGGGGCAACCCGGAAACCCAGATTCTCTAGAATCCCCGTCCAGCTCCTCACGAAAAAGAAGCCCAGCAAACCAGCGGCAACATTCAGAGATGGGATTACCCCGACGGTGAGGTTGAGCTTGTGAGTAATAATGCAGAAGAGGCAGCCAAGCAAAGCGCTGACGACCAGCCCCCTCAGCGTTATCTGTTCTTTCCACGGTGGAATCCTCTCGGAACCATCGGCGATGCGCCCGTCTGCTTCCTCCGCTGACAGCCGCAGCATCGGCTCCGTTATATCGATCGACGTTCCCATCCCCGCCTCCTCTTTCTCTCACCTGGGTCTTCAGATTTGGCCGCGAAGATCTAAAGAGGCGGAATGAGGGAGACGGAGCTGGCTGTGGCTGTACGCTTCAAGGTAACGCCTTCTCTTCGCTCTCAGACCATATAATTGTTGCTTTAAGGCCTAAACAATTGACCATTTGGCAGAAACACTACGTGCAATTGCCGCTCCGTCTGATTATTTAACTATTATTTTTTGACTGGGATTTTTATTATTTCTTATTTTTTAACTGCAATTTTTTAGGTGGATGAGGAGGCTGTTATGCTCAAAAATAATGTTATTTGACTGGGATTTTTATTATTTCTTATTTTTTTAACTGCAATTTTTTAGGTGGATGAGGAGGCCGTTGGGGAAGATATCAAAATTTAATATTTAAAAAATGAAGCGAGTGTCTAAGAATAAGTATTTAAGTTATTTTATTCAACCTTTTTTGTTAGCACATATGACCCAAAAAAAACTTTGATGCCCACTACAGAATTTGTGGTAATAACATAACAAATTATCATTTTTGTATGGCACGAGTATTCAACACACGCTCAGAAAAAAAAAATTAATAATATAGCCAGAAGTTTTTGCATGAAAAAACAATAAGGAAAAAAATCATGGGACATGACACAGCTAAAAAGACAATTACAGTTGCAATCACGTTTTCCACAGACATAAAAAAGATTAGTAGGCTTCCAAAGTTACAACGTCTATGTACGGATGAGTTTTTTGTATGAAGGGGCGGCGATTGACAGTGATCAACTGCGGCATGTCGGCGATAACAGGAGTGGTGCTAGACTTATGCTCCTTCTAAAAACTTCAAATTCTTTCTCACTCCTCATTAGGGTTGTAAACAAGTCGAGCTTGAGCAAGCTCAAACTTAGCTCGTGTTCGGCTAGTTCGAAATAGCTCGTGTTCAAAATTGGCTAGTGAACAGTGTGTTCTTGTTCATCTCGATTTTAATATTCGTGTTCATGTTTGGCTCGAAATTGGCTCGGAAAAATTAAATTGAAAAAAATAGATGTAAAGTATGGAATTCGAACATTGACCAAATGTATACAAAAGAATGCACTAACCACATTATCACACGAGATGTTATGTTTTAAACTTAGATATAAATATATATAATATATTATTATATAAATAACATATGTAATATATTATTATATAAATAATTATATTTATTTTTAATTTCAAGCTAAAACGAGCCGAACACGAGCGAAGAAAACGCTATTCATGTTTGGCTTGTTTATAATTCGAGCTTTATATACTGGTTCGACTCGTTTACTTAACGAACGAGCCGAACACGAGCTATTCGCGAACAACGAGCTTTTTTGACAGCCCTACTCCTTATGCTCTCCCCCCTCTCATGATGAGAGGGATGGGGCTCTATTTATAGAGTTGTGCGTGCAATTAATGCATAAATATTAATCACTTTGATCAAATTGCTCAGAGGGCTTCTCAGACGGAGTTTGATAGACGTTTGAGTGTCTTAACGATCTCAAAATTTAGTAATATTCGGTTCGTTGGATTCATCTCGTCGACTTGCTCAATTCGACTATGAAGTTTGTACCATTAGGTTTGTCTCATTGAGTCCATCAGTTTGACTATAAGTTCGTTGAAATCAGAGCACTAGATAATTTTTAATCAAAGTTTGAACATTTCTTGCCCAAAAAATTGTTCTGAGATTCATGTCATGTCTCGAGATTTGTGTCGGATCATGAATATTTGTTAGAGGTGTATCGGTTGCCCCACTATTTTCGATCAGAGCTGACCTCGTTACCCGAAAATATTAAGATTCGGAGAACATATATTAGAATAAAATGCATATATATTTCATCAGAAATTTGAGCTCAGCTCAGTTTGTGCCCTCCCTGTGCATGGTCTAGGGTTAGAATCCCCCGATTAGCACATTATTTTCGCCAGACCACTAAGTGGACCAATGCATGGGCCGCAAAAGCCGCGTAAATGGAAGCAGGACCGTGACTGCAGGATTTGGGCCAAGAATAATGAAAATTGAGCACATTTTAGCCACCCAAAAGGTTGAATTTTAGGCGATTTTTTTTTCTTTTTTTTTTTGACAGATGCCCCATTTTTTAATTTTGTAACGTGAGAATTTAGAAGGCTAAAAGTGGGAATATAAAAAAAATTCAGTTTTCTTCTTCCTTTTTTGAAGCTTTAATGCCTAGGTGAGTCATTTCACAATTTATCATGCATTTTCTGTTATATTATTAGTTATTGTGAGTCGTATACATTTAAAAAAAAGAAAAGAACAATGTCTGGGATTTATTGTGATTTCTTATTGTTGTGTTATTGTCGTCATCGCCATCACCGATATTGGTGCTCGAAAGGTAATTTTTTTTTCCGGCAAAAGGGGTAATTTTCAAAATATCAATTTGAGATAGGAAAAACACAGACTCGTTTGGAAAATCTTTTTAAAAAATAGGATTTTAAAATACTCACTCGTTGGAAAGTGAGTGCCCATCCATGGGGAATTGAGTACCGTTTGGGAAAAATAAAATATCACTCGGGAAATGTTAGTTTGCGAGCTAACCATTTTGTGCAAGTACATTGAATGTTGATTGTATCTTTTTAAGATCTCTGGTTAAGTTTATATTTTTTGCTCTCCGACCACAGTGTCTCATGACATTGATTAGCTCCTCTTAAGATTGTTGAGAAAGTTGACATTTCCCGGTGCCCCCAAATAGGGGTTGATGTCGAGAGGCTGTCTGATTTTTGGGTAAATTTGGACTTGTAAATAAGAAATATTCTGAATTTTTTGTCTTATAAAATAAAAATAAAATGTAAATCAATTGAAATTTTAAAATTTTGAAAATTTGAGCATTTGAAATGTAGGTTCTTAGGATTTTAAAAATATTTAAAGTCTTAGGCTTTTGAAACATAGACTCTTTAGGCTTAAAATTCTTTAAAATTAGGGCTTCTTTTAAGTTTTTAGAGATTTGAAATTATGGGCTATTAAAATTATAAGTTTTCAAAGTTTAAAATAATAAGATTTGGATTTTAAAGTCATAAATTTGAAAATATTTTATAAGATGGTTTCAGGAATTGCATTAAGACATCAAGTACTCGAGCTAAAATAGCTCAAGCACATAAATTTAATGCTCACATGCAGTACAATCAATGTATTACATGTTCAAATATAAGGTTCGAGTATATTGTGAGGGGCTAATTGGCCCGTTTTGTATATAGGATAGGGTTGTAAGTCTTTACCCCACTAGTACGATCCAACTCTACGCAAGCACCAGAGTTGACAAGTCTAATGAACCCTAATAAATGTCCAAATCATAATATAAAAATTTACAAGTCCAAATCACCACACTAATCAGATCTTTCTTGTACTAAGGACTGGAAATGACAAGTATAATAAGTCCTAATAAATGACCAAATCTTGAAATAATAATTTACAAGTCCAATCATTGTCCTTATGAGGACATGAGTCAACAAAACTTATACCCTAAAAGTATAAACTGACAAAACTAAATGTCTCACTTTAAAGATAAAGAATTTAAATGCCTTAATCCTCGATGACGGTCGTATTAATTGAAATTTTCAATCAGATATGACAATCTTTTAAATAACAATTTTCAAAGTAACCAACCAAATATTCATGTTAAAATTCAATCACTTAAGAGCTAAAAGCAAAATTCATTCACTTTCCGCAACAGATTCTCGAGGCTGACAAACTCCTGATTGACTTCAACTCACAAAGAGCGAATGTCATATCAAATGTATCAAAATATTCATAATCAAAGTAATTGTCTATAAATAATTATGTGACCTGAGTTCTTTGTTCGAGTGGTTTTACCGTCAAATGACACCATAAAATAACGGTTATAACTAATCCTCTAATCAGACAGTTGTCTCCAAATAACACTATTATATTACGGTCACAGTCGTAGCTTGTATGTTTCACAATGCTTTTCTACCATTTGAATTGTGAATCATAAAGATACAATTGATTGACACAAAACCTTCTATTATTAGCTAAGATCCACTTAAATGTGTCCCCTTAGTCAAACATCCACCCAAGATCTACAATGATACATTGGACGACGCAACCCATAGTTGCTGTCAAGGATTCTTCTGTCAAGTTGGGTCGACTACATCTTCTAACTAAGTAGATCAATGACCATAACGACCTGGGATGACGAAATTATGAGATCTTGATCCGGTTTCGTCTTCATTCACCCACCATCTACTTTATGTTTCAAGTAATAAATTCTATAACTTAAATTTTGTGTCTACTGTTACTATATATTCGATATTTAATCCTTAATAACTAGCATGAATCAAAAGAGATCTCCTATTATTGTGATGAGTAATTAATCATAGGTGCTTACGTTTATAAAAAAACCTCGGAACCTATTTAAAATTCTTCGCTAAATGAGGGTGACATCCTCCAAAACTCTGTCTCTCTCAAAATAAGGATAAATTCAGAAGGGAGAAATTGTGAATTTTCGAAGCTCACACACCCAAAGCAACATTGCGGGTCTAAATTTTTATTTCTATTCTGCGCTTCTTAAGACTTCAAACATAGGGAAACTTCATCCCTGTAACCTCTACCCAATCACCATAGCATATCTGCAACATCTCCTGCAAGTATGTGCGAGAGAAAAGTATATTTTCCTAGGGAAAATCTGCCATGGATTAGCAATTCTTACAGGTATTCAGACCGAGACCCTTACATCTAACATCATACTCAACTTCTACACCAAATGCAGCCTAGTTGAGTATGCTCGCAAGCTGTTTGATCGAATGCCGACGAGGAGCATTGTCTCTTGGAACACCATGATCGCCGGCCATAACAATCATGGAGAATATGTAGAATCTCTCACTCTCTTTCAGCAAATTTGTCGTCAAGGATTGGTCTTGAGCGAATTTACTTTGTCGAGCATTCTCTGCGCGTGCGCAGAAAAAATCGCAGTTTTTGAGTGCAGGCAATTGCACGGTTTGGCTCTCAAAATAGCAAGAGATTCTAACGTTTTTGTTGGAACCGCACTGCTTGATGTGTACGCCAAGAGCAATATGATCAATGATTCGGTTCAGGTTTTTGATAATTTGACTGAAAAATCTTCCGTCACTTGGAGCTCGATGGTTTCTGCTTATGTCCACAATGATCTTCATGAGGAGGCTTTGGTTCTGATTTCTAAATCTCAGAAAATGGATTTGGAATGGACGAAGTTCACTCTTTCTGCCGCTCTGAGTGCCTGCACTGCATTAGCTGCAACTATTGGAGGAACGCAGTTACATTCCGTTATTGTTAGAACTGGATTTGATTCAGATATATTTGTCTCCACTGCTCTTACAGATCTTTATGCAAAATCTGGGTGCATTAAGGAAGCTTGGAATGTATTTTCGATCGCAGAGGAGAAGAGCATCGTCCTGTGGAACGCGATGATTGCAGGATTCTCGAGACACGCTCGATGCCTCGAAACCATCATGCTGTTCGAAAAGTTGCGGAGTACAGGAATTTGCCCAAATGAAGTAACTTTTGTATCTGTTTTGTCTTCATGTAGCCATGCTGGTTCAGTTGAAAGCGGGCGTTTTTATTTCGATCTTATGAGGAAGGATGGTGAATTGGAACCTAATGTTCTTCACTATTCTTGCATGGTTGATGTTCTTGGTCGATCTGGATTTATTGAAGAAGCATGGGAATTGATTCAGAATATGCCGTTTGCTCCCACTGGGTCTATTTGGGGATCTCTGCTTAGTTCATGTAGGATTCATGGCAATCTTCAACTGGCGAAGGTTGCAGCAGAACATCTATTTGAGATCGAGCCTGAAAATGCGGGAAATCGTGTATTGCTTTCGAACTTATATGCCGCAAGTAAAAATTGGGAAAAGGTTGCTGTTTTGAGGAAGAATTTGAAGGATAATGGTGTAAAAAGGGAAAAAGGAAGGAGTTGGATTGAAGTGAGGGATAAAGTTCATGTTTTTGTTGTTGGGGAGTATAATCATCCGAGAATTTCGGAGATATATATAAAGTTGGAGGATCTAAGGAATGAGATGAAGAAATTGGCTTATAAGACACAAAATGAATGTGATTTTCATGATGTTGATGAAGAGCAGAAGGAGGAATTGCTTGGTCAACACAGCGAGAGATTGGCATTTGCTTTTGGTTTAATAAGCTTGCCTCCTGATGCAACCATTAGGATAAATAAGAACCTCAGGGTTTGTGGGGATTGCCACTCTTTTCTGAAACTTGGATCCAAAATATCAGGAAGAGAAATTATTGTGAGAGATATAAAGAGGTTTCACCATTTTTGCAGTGGTTTATGTTCTTGCAGGGATTTTTGGTGACTAGAAGTCTTCGTGATCATCTTTTTCTGATATAAATTTTAGATTCATCATGTGCTGCTATTTCTGTTGCAAATTTAGAAATTTGTAAATGTTTCCACCTTACGACGATGATTTTGGTGTTGTTCAATACAATTTGGCATTTGCTTTGCATTAAAAGACTTCTAATGGCTTTGAGATCGCCAGAAACTAGGAAGGTGTGGGAGAGAAATTTGCGCAAATTTATAGTTCGAATTTGCACGTGTATGAGCGAGTATGATTTACATTTGGGGGCACTTACATGCTTAAAAAAAAAACAATTTTTATGTATTTTACAGATCCAACACAAATTTGCATGGATATTTATATGTATAGCACTAAAAACTTTAATATTACATCACAAGAATCACTATTACTATTTTTTTTAAATGAATTATGCATGTTTCATGTATAGGATTGCGATACCAATTGTTATGAATGTAAATATAAAATTTTAAATGTTAGATTTGTAAACACATAAAAATTGGGAGCTAAATTTTGTCTCACTGTTGTATTACTTGAATAAATTTTGTTGAAACTTCAATATTACATTGTAGGCGTTGGATATGTAAATACATAAGAAATGCGTAGTAGGCATGTAACTTGCCCATTAGATTTCTATGGTATAAATTTAAATGCCCCTTATTTATTTTCTTGGATGCCTGCAAATGGGTTTAGGTGAGATCCATAAACAACAGAATAAAGAAATTTTGGCATAATGAGTACTACAGATACCTCATTCATATAGAGCTAAGCTCCAAAACAGCATTCTAGTTTATTGAAAGATGAATGCCTGTGTCCTATTTGCGACAATATGAAAAAATAAAAAATAAAAGCAATGTTGACGCATTTAGAGGTGTGTTTCATTGTTAAGAAGATGATGATGATGATGCTATTTTGATTTAATGTTAAGATTTTGAGTGATACCCTCCTAAATATGAATGTTTAGGTGTTTATTATGTAAATACATAAGAATTACGTGGCAAGTACGTAAATTTTCCCCCTCCCAAAAATAGGAGAGTTATATATATACCACTCAAGTCTTTTGTATTTACATATCTAACACATAAACTTCAACTTTTACATACATATTGGGTGTATTTCACCTTTTTAAAATCAACATACAACTATTTTTTATATGATCTGAAAGATTTGGGCGGTATTAATGTAAATATCAGAGTTTTGGTGTTAGATATGTAAATACATAAGAGTTGAGTGGTATATGAATGCCCAAAGCAAAACCATAATACAGCAGAGTGATGAAAGCCAGAGACAACATAATTACTACAGAAAATAAAAATAAAATAAAATAAAATAAAATAAAAATCATGAATGAGGAAATGACAAACCCATAATTTGGTCAGGCAGAATTCTTGGCAGAAAGACTTGTATCGCACAGCAGCTCAGAGATATTATTTGGCTGACAATTCTTTTGAAAAAAATATGAAGTGCTAAAACTTAAGAGATGAATTATAATAATGATCATCACCACATCCACAATACTCAAAAGGCTGTTTTCCTTCCTAACAAATACGAAGTCTGTAGTGCCCCCAAGCACAGAATTACTCTTCAGGGCACTAAAGTCAGAAAAAAAAAAGGTATTCTCGGCCAAACTGTACTGTTTGGTTGGAAAACTACATCATATCACAATATTGGGACCTAAAAAGAAGACTAAACAATCAGAAAAACCTCCCATTCCCATTCCTCCCTGCTCCCATTAAAAGAGAAAAATTGCAAAAAACCAAAAAAAAATCAGAACAATCAGAACCAAGCTGCCCTTCCAGGGAACAAGAGAACTTTAACTTCCACTTGGATTTCGGCGGCTTCCTCTCGGCCCTGATACCGATCATTTTGTGAATGAAAAGGTAAACGAAAGACCCTTCCGCAGCTCCCTCGATAATATCTTCTGCCACAACGAAAAAAAAAAATCTCACCAAACATTCTATTTTCACCTAGATCCATCCCTATGCATAATACATGTATAGGCTGTTTGCAGCAGCGCAGGCGATTGAATTTTCATTTGGATGCCAAGCGAGGTGGAGAACTTTCATTGTGAAGTCATGAGAGTTTCCGTTGGCATCGACACTGGGGCTGTCAGTCCCTGTTCGAAGTTCAAAAATGAGTTAAGAAGTACCAAGAGTTAAAATTTTGGGAAATTTACAATTGAAGCACACAATTCTCATCTATTTTTACACATCTCACACCTAAACTTTCAAATTTACATACATAGCACATTTCTAGATCTATTTCACTTTGAAAAAGTGGTAATAGTGGCATCTTTTAAGTGATGTTAAGGATTTGAGTGATGTGTGTGCAAATAGGAAACTTTTGGTTTTAGATATGTAATTACATTAGAAGTGTGTAAATGTCCCCTAAATTTTACATAATAGTTACCTCTTCGAACAGCTCTTGTTAGACCGCTCAGCGCTCTTCCAGGTCTTGCTGACGTTTGCACTTGCCTCCTGCATTAGAAAGCCATAATTATCACTGAAAGTAACACGGCTGTCAATAACTTCAATATAAATTTTTTGAGGTAAAAAATTAAGTTTTCCATCTGAAAGATTTTCCGATGCAAATTACATGAAATTATTTCATTATAAATCTCTCTCTGAAGACTGCAGAATAGGGCCATGGAAAAAACACCCTACTGCTATTGGAGTCCAAACAAGATTGATGTCTTAGTTCCAAAAAAATGCAAACACTATTGATTATGGTTATAATAGGGCAATTTACATTCCTACCACACAATTCTTATGTATTTACCTAACACCTTAACATTCGTATATACAAGCATACCAATCAAATCTTCAACATTAGATCAAAGATACCACCATCACTACCTTTTTTTTAACTGAAATACACATTTTCATGCATAGATTTATGACAATATGGGTATGTGCGTAAATTTCCGTATATAATATCAAAATAAGCAATGTCAGACAACACAACACATGATCAACGCACCATTTGTACCAGATGAAAAGAAAATATATATATAAATAGATAAAAGAAAAACGCATCAGATTGTTTTTGAGAACTAAGCAAATAGTCATGATAGGGATGGCAAAGTGGCAGAAGAGTCCAAGCTAATAAAAGGCTTTTAATTAAAAGAGAGGCCTGAAATATGCCTTTAGAATTTATTTGTTTAGACCGCCTCTTTTATTACAAAGTTCTTGTATCTTTTGCCGAACAAATTTTATCATTACATGAATTAGACAGTATATATTCCATGTTTATGTGAATAGTCGTTAATATACCATCCTTTTAATCGTTTAAAAGCATATATAATTATTCTATTTCTAGCTCCATGTTTTTTTAAACCAGCAGCAGTCCTCTTTCAACAAGTCTGTCAATCTTTCCAAGTTTTTTTTTTCTTGGTAATTCTAATGTGAAAGCTTGTCAGGGACTTTCACCCAAAAGTAATCATTATGAACATAGAGATCCTCATTTCTGTAGAGCAAATCCTAGTTATGCAGAAATTCTCTGGTGCTAAACAAAATCAAATATACTCTCTCTTCTTAATCAAGGAGGAAAAACTGCAGTGCAGCAGAAAATAACCATAAAATTTTATATCTCAACATCTTAGTAGTAATTTACAAAGCATTGGTCTTCTAAACCAAAAGCTTACAGCTCTAAAAGAACAAGGCTTTAAGATGAGTGGTGACGCTTCATATTGCATGTGATTTACTACTGGAGAAACACACATTTTTTAAGCAAAGTCTAGGGCTGTAAAAAATTGGCCCAACACGTCAACTCAACCAGAACCCAACTCGAAAATCAGGATTCGGTTTGAACCAAATAGTTTCCAAGTTGGGTTCAGGTTAGTAATCATAACCCCTTTAATTTTTCGGATGAAGTTTGTTTGGACCCACTAACCAGAAATTTACTCAAAACCGACCCGTCAACCTGAAATTGACCAAACATTGAATTGAATTTGACCCGAAAAACTAGAAATAGGTGTTGGGTTGTGGTCAACGGGTTGAAAACAGGTCGTGTTCGTGTTGAACTTACTAACCCGTTTAATATTTGGGTTGGTTTTGCATAAAGCAGCCCAAAATCACCAATTAACATTGTTCCACACTAAAAATATTAGCATATCTTCATCAATATAGATATACCTCATAGGGTTCTTGCTTGCTTCAAGAGTTGTTGCCTCACTGCTTCCAGATGCACAACCAAAAACACGGAAAAGATTGCTGTTTTAACACGAAACATATGCTTATCACCGTCAAAGAAAAAACACCCAATAAAACCATTATCACACAGAAACCATCATTAATACCTGTAAGAACCAGTAGCTATACGAAGTCCATCACCACTTACACCACATTCAAATTTGTCAAAAATTGAATCGTTTTCATATAAATCACAAAGCTGCACCAAATAATGAGCAAAAACAGTAAAAAATATAGAAAAGTAATCCCATATTGTAACAAATACTTATCAAAGAGAATCAAAGGCAATGAAAAATTACTCTAGGCCGCAAATGCTCATGCACTTGGAAAGTTGCAACTGGACCAGAATCCATGTTTATGTCCCATAGCTGAAAATGACAAAATTTCAGAAAAAAAATACTATGGGCGAAGAAAGAAAAGTCAGAAGATTAACAAAAATTAAAAACCAAAATCATAATTACAGTTACAATCTAAATGACAGAAAATTTAGCTGATGGCGTGCACAACAAACAGGTCAAGGAGATTACAGTAAATCATTACCACCATTAACCCACATCTTAAGTTTTTGTAGCTCATAAATCCTCATGTTTCAATCATTTTTGTTTATTGTTATTTAAGATGTTAGACTTACTCTTCACAAATCATTTTGATCTAATTCTATCCATGGACTTGGGTCCAAAAACTTTTCCTTAATAATACCCGCACATTGATTTCCTATACATGAGCAATCGGTGCTTTTTCTACCCTTCTTGGTATAATCTCAAACTGCCTAAGATATTTTCAACCACTTAATCTTCAAAAAATGTACTCTGACCATTACTCAAATATAATCATTCTTTAATTTATCCTTCTAAATCTAGTTAAACATTCATAGTGACATTTTGATTTCAGCCAAGCTTAACTTAAATATCAAGGATTTCTTTACAGTCAAATACTTAAATCCATACAGTATAAGTTGCCTAACTATGTTTTAATAAAAATTACCTTTCAAGCCTCCACAACTTCCTCTTATCATGTAATGCTGAGCTATCTCACTTAAATGCATTTATTATGTCCTCCCAGATGCTTAAGCCTATAATAAAAGTGCCCCGCATTATCTTCTGATAAAATTAGCCGATATTTGCTAATATCACATGCATAACATAAGGTTAAGTCATTGTTTTATTATTCTAAATACCTTTTTAAGTTTTAAACATTTTCTACAATATTCTAACTATAAAATTGATTAAAGATATGACTCGTTTATGTAATCTTCAGAAATCTTACGTCAAACAACTCAATTTAAATAATTTTTGGCAAATAATTATATAGCAAATAAAAAATAGACTCAAATGTTAATCCTTAAATTAATCCTGTTGGTATTGAAAACATTGTGATCACTCCATACTTTTAATACCTGCCTGTGTTATATGATACATAGCTTGAACAATTTCACTAAAGACTTGACATGCACCTTTCTTCCTTGATATAAACCAAATAAATTCTTATACTAATTGATCATATGTCATCTCAAAATCAGTAAAAATTATATGAAGATCATTTCACTACTCTCAATACTTTTCATTAACTAAATTGAAACAAGAATCGCTTCCATAATAATTCTTCAAATTAGGAAACCAAATTATTTCTTCAAACAATAGATTTTTTAAAATTTATTTTCTATAAATTGACATGCATCAATTTTTCACATTTTTTTATGCTTAAATTCTAACAATTTCTTCCTTTATATTCATGATTTTATGTTTTTGAAGGTTGAAATTGTATTTTGCAGGTCACAAAAGTATTAGCGCACACAAATTGAAACAAAACAGGGACTTTGGAAAAAAAAACAAGCCAGCATAGCCAAGCCTAGAACTAGCTTAGCCCACCATTTGTGTGCGACAAACATCCTTCCGGGTGTAGCCACACTGCATTTCGGGCATGGTCACCATGTCTTTCACAGCTTGTGCACTTGAAGTTTTGGCATAGCCACGCCAAATTGCAGTATGACCACGCCGCCCAACCAGAGAGTTAGGTGTATAATTTATGTGCAGAATCCCGATGATTTTTAGGAGGAATTTGAACTCAAGCTATAAAAAGAACATCATTGAAGAGTTTAGGAGAGTTTTTTGGGAGAGAATTAAGGAGGCTAGAGTTTGAGAGAATTCTTCTCCTCCTCTTAGTTTTTCTTTGGTCTATTTTTTTTTTTTTTTTGAGAGGTTTTGAGAGAAGTTAATTGTCGTTGATTGTAAAAGAGGATTACCAAAGGGCTGTAAGTTTATTTTTATTTTAATAAAAATGTTTCTTGTAGGTATGCTTTCCATGGAATTTTCTTTGCTTTTCTCTCAAGTTATGAGCAGCTAAATTAATTTTCGTACCTCTGTGATTTGTGGGTGGATTTTCTGGCTTGATTTTAGTTGATGATTTCTCATATACGTTTTTCAGCGCTTTTAATTGTCAAATATTGTTGATTAACCTTCTTGCCTTTGTTTGCTCCTAATATGGCCAATAGGAGTGTTAAAATTAATCGAGATCTACGACTTCGGCAGAAGCGTTGTGGAAAGAATATGTTAACCACAAGATCTGAATAGAACATGAATGTTTTATTACGGATCTTGCAATCAATAACGAAGTCTTAAAAATTATTGGGGACGCCATAAAGATAATCGAATGTTATCTTTCTGGAATTCCACTTCTTCTATTAACCTAGGCATATGCTTAAGAAGAAAATATCATCCCCGGTTGGCAACAACCATGTAAGAGAAATTGCATAACAAGTAAAGCCAGGTGCCACACGTAAATCACAGAGGCACGATCAATTTGGAAGAAACACCAAATCAATTTAATATGTGTTTTCCTCTATCTTTATTTTCCGCCGACTCTGATAGATTTAGGATTTCTTTTTACTGTTTTCTGAATCACACCGAACTAGGTTGGAATAGTTACTAAACTATAGCTTCGCCTTTTTTCAAATATGTTTCTTAACACACTTCCTCATGAAAACAATACGCTCTTGCAAACCGCTTACACGTGTAATTGTGTGAAGTGGCAGCTCTACGACAATTTTGTGGTTATCATAAATCTCTCACAAAACTTCATTGAAAGACTCAAAAGTTTAATTCTTATATAATTAGCATAATCTTGAATATCTCTTTAGTTCTTAAATATTAATACCAAAACTATTATTCTTCAATAATTTCCTATTCTCTTAGTCTTCAAATTTAATTAAAAATACCTATTAATTATAATATCTGCTATAACTCTCCGAATCTCAATATCTTATTTCAGCCTAAAGCTTTACATTTATACATCTTCAAAGCTACAACAACAACAACAAAGCCTTAAGCCCACTACGTGGGGTCGGCTACATGAATCCTTTTTCTCCTTGAAGATGTATACATTTTTTATACATCTTCAAAGCTGAATTTACTTAAATTCTTTTGATCAATTATAATATGGACAAAGAGAGTGGTGGGCTTTTAAATAAAAAGATTGGAGAGAGAGATTTTTCTAGTGTATGGACCTATGCTTTGGGTCAAAAAAAAACTTTGGAAAGGTAGATCTTCTACCGTGGTCAAAATGTTCAAGGTTGCATGATTGGGTTTAACTTTTTCTTGTGAGCATATAAGGTGTAAAATAAGATGAGGGATTATCTATTATGAATATAGGATATGGCAATATAATGGAACGGAAGAGATTGGGTTAACAAGAGGTGTTGAGAAGTGTGGCAGTAGCAGAAAGGTAAAAAGATAATTTATGGACTGTTTTTTAAAAAATAGGCACGGATTAAGAGTCCATTTGGACTTACTTTTTTTCGTGTGGCACGGTTTCAAACTACTAATTTGCATATTTTATGTTGATCGGTAATATTGGAATGGCAACTTCGAGCAATAATTCAATGTAAACGTGGGCCAATATTAATAGCCCGTGGTTTGCATTTCTTATGTGGTTTTCCCTGCCCCACGCATCTCTGCCCTAGCCTCTTCACGCCTATGCCCTAACTCCTTCGCGTCTCTGCCTCTCTCGCTTCTCTACCTCTCTCGCGCTGCCTCTCTCGAGTCTCTGTTGTCTCTCACGTGTTTCTTTCCTAAAGTCATCTCTCCCCTCTCTTGTTTGTGCCGTAAAAAGTGTTCTTATCTCCCTCTCCCACGATATCCCTATCATTTATTTTTTGCAATTTGCGGTTGATTTGGAATGTGTGGCTTTCTCAATGTGTTTTGTGACTTTGACCTACATGTAAAATTGATATTTCAGTATATGACGGATGGGATTTTGATGTTTGGTATCATCTACCATCTTTTTATTGTTTCTTCTCCTTGCTCTACTCGGTTTTTAGTTAGTGTCTTTTGTGACTTGCTTTTTCTTTTTATGACCCCTGAAATAAATAAAGTTGAAAGTTGGGGGCTCTAGGATTGTTGGAATTTGAATTTGTGGCATCTGACATTCAATTTTTGAGGCATCTTGGATTTTAAGGGTTGTGATTGTCTTTCTAGTTTATGGCCTCTCTATTTTTTATTTTGGTTGGTTTGGGTGGTTTGCCCTCTTTCGCGAATGCATAGTTTTGATGCACTAAAAAATTGAAATTTTGCGACTTTCGAAAATTGATAGAGTTGAGGCTTTGAATTGGGCTTGGGATTATGAAGAATTGTTCAATGATTTTTGTGGATGTTTTTGAAAGTAATGGGCCAACATTTCACTAGTTGGAATGGTCAGGTTTGAGGCAAATGAAGGCCAAGAGAGGCCTTGAAATTATGTGGAGGTGATGTGCATGTGTTAGAATGTTTCAAAAATGCTCATGGAAGCTATGTGTGGTGGTGTGCTGGCGGTGGTGTGTGCACATAGAGTGTTGTGTAGGTGTTACGTGTGGCGATGTGTAGGTGCTATGAATATGGGAGTGGTGTTTGTGGCGTGTTGATGGTGTGGTGATTGGGTGTTATGCGTGGTGTTGGTGTTGTGTAGGTGCTATGAAAATAGGAGTGGTGTTAGTGGTGTGTTGATGGTGTGATGGTGGGGTGCTATATGTGGTGGCGAGTAGGTGCTATGTGTGGTGGTGTGTTGATGTGGTGCTGGTGGTGTTTGTGCATGGGAGTGATGTGTAGGTCCTATGTGTGGTTGTTTTGGTGTGATGGTAGTTTTGGTATTTATGAGGACATTATTTATGCTACTTTCAATGCTTGAGATTTATTTCTTATATAATTTATCTTCGTTTTTTATGAGGAAATATTTACCAAAACCATAACCTCTTCATCGCTTCTCGAACTTTCGTTATCATATTTTTTTATAATGAATGTTCAAGCTAATTCGATTAGGGCAAATCAATATTATAGGCTGAAATAGATTTGCCTGAGTTTTGTAAACAGGATGGGGAAGGTGATGAGGAGACGATGAAGTTGAGAGAGTGAATTACAGATGTCATTGTTGGCCTGTGAATAGATATTATATGTTTTTTTAGCAATGTAACATGTTTACACCAAATTATCGCTCGAAGCTGTCACACTGCTATTAACAATTGACGTAAATTAGAGGTTTGGAACCGCACCGCAAGAAAAAAGCTATGCTAAACGGACCCATAATGTTTTTATTACTTTATGAGCAATAGTTCATGAATTTCATTGTGGTGCAACTTTTATTTTCAGTTCTTTAACATGTGATTTTTCTCACATGATTGGCCTTTGAGGCAACTCTGAGTAGAATATTGCATATACTTATTTATAGCATGTTTTATTTTTGGTTTGGAGGTATATCATAAGATGTTTGACCTTAATGGTTGTTCTGAAAGGTCTAGATGTTGCTATGTGTTCTTGAAACGTATGAAATCGCTATCAAGGCAAACAATTACCCCGCATTTTTCACTCACATGCCTCTTGAGGTTCTTTTGGATGGCCTCTGTGGTTATATATTTTTGTTACAAGATCTTTTTTTTTAAAGGCCTACTGTCTTCTTGTAGCAATAGATTATTTGTTGATTTATACTTTCTGCACTGAGACATCAAAAGTTTATAAAATTTTAAATGAGTACTTTTATTATTCGTCTTTAATAATATTGCATTTAAGGGTTTGTGATTTTAGACCTTCAGAACAGATGAGGAAATTAATTGTCTGCATTTTAAAAATAATAGTATGATAATATTAAATGTTAGTTTAATAGTTTTGATTTTTAATTTTGATCATTGTGTTGCTTACTATGTATTGAGGTGTCGGTTTTTATTATATAATATTTAAACTGGATATAAATTCTCATTAAAAAATGTGCAATCAGGCTTGATTTTATTATAAACAACAAAATACTAAAGGGGTAGAAAAGGTCATTTATTCATAAAAACTGCAGCATAGTTGCTGCAAAATTGCACAAAATAAGCAAACATAGCTTCTCCGTAGCAATTTCTGTGCAGCAGCTTCCCGTCACAGCTGCTGTGCATCAACTTTTTGATAAGTTGCAATTTCCCCAAACAAACCCTAAAGGAATTGAGAGGGAGAACTCCTGAACATAAGAGGACATGAAATGAAGTGCATATAATAGATAAGTGAGGTAACAAACTAATATAATAAAAGAAAACTTAACTAAGGGAAGGGAAAGAACGAGATAAAAGATAATTCTGATTTCAGAGAATATAACCGCATCAATTTTGCCCAACTAATACAATATCAATACAAATCTAACAAAAATGGCATAAAAATACAACAAATAAGTTTCCCACTCTATGAAGATATATTATTGATAATTATAGGTTCATACTTATCACGATTGTTAAAGAGTCATCGGATCAAAACAGAGTGGCAGAATAGCTAGGTAAGGAAAATATGAGACCAAGAATTTATCGCCTAAAAGGAAATACATCCACCACAAATTCATATACAAAAATTAAAAGAATGTGCCAGTGGATTACCCAATTGATAATCCTCATATAGATCAAATATTGGAAAATTAGGAGTTATTTATTGTTAGTATTATAATTATTTATTCATTAATTCTTTATGGGTAATTTTGTATATAAATTCCCCTCGAAAGAAAAAACAATTCAAACTTTCATAGTCATTAAATATTTTCTACATGGTATCAAATTGAAACGAGGGTAATACTTTTCAACTTTTTCTTTATCTTTCATTCTTCCATTCACTATGTCCAATTTTTTTATCATTATTTTTTAATTTTCCCACCAAAGAGTCAATTATCAATGGTGAAAGACTAAATAAGAGCTCCAGACTCTACATGTCTCATATCAGTTAAATGTAATAAGCCATCTGAAGTAGCTCAAAATGTGAAAACTTTCGTAAAAGAAACAAGTAAAATCCAATATCTTATGAATTTTCCACCAAAATTCAATAACTCTCACAAAAAATAAGTTGTGCAGATTGCAAAAAGCAATTTATGATCTCAAATGATCCCCAAGAGCATGATTTGATATATTCACAAAAAAAATGTAATGAAATGAAATACAAACAACATAAAAAAGACCATACTCTCTTGATAAAACAATCCATTCATGAAAAATAATAATTCTCATGATATATGTTAATGATATGATTATTACAAGAGATGAAAGTAAATAAAAGTAATCACTCAAGGAAAAAAAATTACTAAAGAATTTGAAATCAATGAACCATGTAAACTCAAATAGTTCTTGAGTATAGAAGTTTATCAATCAAAATAAAGAATTTTTATCTCACAACAAAAATATAATACGTACCTATTAAGAGAAATAAATATGATTGAGTGTAAATTATATAAATCTTCAATTGATCCTTGTAAAAAATTTGACATGGAAAAAAATGAATAAAAGCTAACATCAAGCAGTATCCAAAAAGAGATCATGCAATATCCAAAAAATAGATTAAGCAATATCCAAGAATATATGAGAAACTAATCTATCTATCACATACATATCATGAAATTGACTTGGCAATAAGTCTAATAATTTAGTGATCGACAACGCCAAAGAATCTCACTTCCAAGCTACTTATAGAATCCTTAGGTAACTTGAGTCCAGGAAAGAAAATTCTCTAAAAAAAAAAAGATGAAACTCTACAACTTATTGATTATTAATGATGACTAAATAGGGTCGCCGTTGGATAAGAAATCCACCTCAAAATCTTGCATATTTCTATAAGAAATTTATAATATGGAAAAGCAAAAAAATAATAAAACATCTAAAGACTAATCTCGAATCTGAATTTAGAGCAGTTGCTCAAGGAGGATCTGCAAATCTCTATGGATTAAAATTATTTTAGGAGATCTAAAAATTAGATGGAAAGAAGTTATGAAGATATATAATGATAATAATCTATCATAAGCACCAATCATATTCCAGTAATATGACCGTAACAAACTCATGAAAGCGAATCAACATTTTCTAAGAGAAAAACAAAAGGTTGAAGCAGGAAGACGTGTTGACATATTCATCAAAGGACTCAGCAACCCAACATTTGAAAGTGGTATAGATAAATTTGGAATGATAGATTTTTGCCATCGAAATTAAGTGTGAAGGGCCATCAGAACAAGAAAGGCTAGCACGAGTGCCAGATAAAAAATTAGAGACCACGGATTTAATCTTTACAAGAAAATATATCTCCCACAGATTCATGTTCAAAGGAAAAAAAAAAAACCTATTATTGCTCCCTTTGCGTCAAACAACAATACCTAAATAGATCAAAAGTTGGAGAACTACCGATGATTTTTTTGTATATTAGTAAATGTAATTATTTATTTCTTTTTTCATTTCTATATATTCTTACGTATAAAAACAAATTGAAAAAATGAACAATTCAAGCTTTTCTAGCCACTACTTTTCTATACAAAGCAATCAAACTATGCTTCTCACACAGACTTCCATAATTAGTTTCATTTGTCACCCCATCTTCCATCAAATATCCACAACATAAAACATTTTCTATCAATATAACAATCAAAGAAAAGAAGCAAGTTAGAATTAGTGGAACCTTCAACAGCTACATGGCCAAAACAAGTTTTCAATAGTGCACATCAGATGCATTCTTAAAATCAATAATGAGTGTAACAAAACTAAATTGGATCGATTGAGCAATAAACCTTAAGTGTCATGTAATCACGACTCAGAATATGCCTTCCATTCTTTGAAAATTTAATATCTGAAATTGACGCAATGATCTCGGTAAAAAAGGACCTTGTGCCAGGCGTTTCATGCTCCTCAAACCTATTAAGTGTATCATTTAGCAGAAAAACAAGTACGCAATAAAGCAAAAAAAATAAAAGACCTGACTATCAATTTGCACTTTCAGCACAAACCCCATTCCAAAAGAAAAAACATACATACCTGTAAAAATGTAAATTGAAAAAGGGCGACTTACAACTTGGAGTGATTATCACATAAAGCAGACTGCCTCAAATCAATAAGTCGTATTGAGCCCTTCGAGCTACAATATGCTAGTGTGTTACATTGCATGGGGTGAAACTCAGCTGATGTTATAACTTCTGCAAACCATAGAGAATGAGCCACATAAAACGCAAAACAATAGTTAGTACCACATTACAATACATAAAATGTATTAGATAAGCAAAACTGTCAAATTTCATCAATTAAAGTAAAAAACGACAGGAGAACTGAAAAAGTATTCCCACTTAAAATCAAAATGCAACAACCAATGGAATAGAAGTCAGTTTCCTGAAAATTCCGTGCAAAAAAAAGGATAAGAAGAATATATTAAGGGTCTGTTTTGGGTAGCTGCAACTTATTAAATAATCTGCTAATAAGCTGATTAAAAATAATCTGTTGATAAGCTAGGTACGGTGACTATTACAAATTTTTATTTTTTTTTGAAAAAGTCAGACCACTACCAAAAAGCTGCCACCACACCTAGATAGATGCGGTGTAAAAAAGTTGTATTATGTAGATCTAAAAACTAAAGTCTATATTGTAAAAAAGTAGTAAAAAAGTTGTATTTGTAGTCTAAAGTCTAAATTGTAAAAAAGTTGTAAAAAAGTTGTACTCAGTTTTAAATCTACTTAAATGAAGGTCTTTAGACTACAATTTAGACCTCCATAATTCAAGTTTTTCCTTAACTCTTTTTTTAGTCTTATCCAGAAGAAGGATTTCATCAACGAAAAGCATACCCCAAAGTACATTCTCCTGCAAATGTCCAGTAAGAGCATCCATAACTAAAGCAAAAGGACATGGGCTTAAAGTCGATCCTAATGTAATCCAACTAAAATAGGAAAATAATTGGGCAATCCTCCCTCTGTTCGAACATAAAAAAAAAACATAAACAAAACAAAATAAAATCAAAAACGAAAAACCGAAAGAGATTCCAAACAGCTCCTAAGATGTCGATAAAATGTTTTGTTTTAAAAATAGCAAAATAGGTACAGCTCCTAATACCAGCCCAAACATCCCAAAGTTCCTGTAAAGTGCTAGTTGACTCAAGTTCATGATTCAGGAGGCTCTCAAAATTAACCTTAAAAGAATTTGCAAGAATGAACTGAGAGGGGAATTAACTATCAAACAATTATTTTAAAACTCACCTAAAATAATAATTGGAAAGAATAAATAAACTTAATCTAAATTCACTAAACTTATTTCTCCTTGTTATGCAGACTGACCGCTTCGTAAGAAGAGAATCCAGGAGTAGTTGGCTATTCTACTAAGGATGGTTAACCATAATTTGAAACAATTTCTAAGCATGCCCATAATCGATAGATATGGATGGATTATAATTTTTTTTCCTATAAATAACAGGTCTATAGAATGGAAAATTTCAAGTCGGAATAAAAGAATTAGAATCCTCTCCTAAATCTTCTTTTCTAACTGCCATATACCTTTGCCGCCTCAGTTAGATATCACCATGGACCCAACAGAAAAAATCAGACAACGACTACCTATTGTCATCCCGGTAAAACAGCCAGGAATAGCACACTAACAGCTGTTATTCAGCAGTACATGAGCGAGGACAAGAAATATACTTTTTTTAGGAGGATCGAGTAAAAAACACTAAGCATTCTACAGAAATCAAATACCAAGCCCTACAAAATTCCTAATGGTTCTAAAACTTTCGGCATTCAATTCCGATTAAGGATGGTCGCAAAGAAAAGTCCATGACGTCTCTTGCTATAATTGTTCTGGGATTTACATGCAAAGCACACAATTCTTGTGTGTTTATATATTTAGCATCTAAAAACACTTTAGCATCATAAAATCAAAATAAATGAATAAAAAGATGCATTTCAGTTTAGAAAAACTAATATTAGTGGTATTTTCAAGTCATATTAAGGATTTGGGTGTTATATAAGTCAAAAATTAAATTTTAGACGCGAGATTTGTAAATACATAAGAATTGTATTGTAATTAATGTCTGTAAAGCCCCCTGTTTGTTTTGGAGTTGATTCAACATTCTCTCCCAATGACAGATGCGTTGCCCAAAAAAAGTAAATATGCAGATAATAAAACTTTATTGTGCTATAATATGTGGTCTCAACGCACGTGATTGGGAAGAACACTGCATTAAAGAACAATAAACAATATCAGCTAGACAAGGCTAAAGAGAAAAGAAATGAAAAAGGTTTGCAGAACACAGGCCTTTTGGCAAGGAATGCAATAAACTTCACTACCAAGCATCCACAACACCAAAATAGCTAATTGAGAAAGAATTCCCTCGCTTGGTTTATAAAAGTGTGTTTATAGGATATTTCTCATAAATTTTATCAGGAACTGTATGTCACACTCCATCATTTATGGTAAAAAAAAAAGACCTATTATTTCAGTTGTAATCTTATATTGCACTTCATCTTATACTGCAAAGCAAGACTGCTAAAAGTAACATATTGCACTTCCCATAAGATTCATACACACTAAAACAATACCTGTTAGATCCTCCATATTTGCAGGCTTCACATCAACTATGTTAAAGCTCTGATTGGAAATTTCCAAATTCCAAAGATTTATCCGCAGATCATCAGCTGAAATGAATGTCTCTCCATCACTGGTCACACAGCAAATAAAGCAAAAATAAGAAGTCGGTATTATAAAACAGGAAATAAATAAATGAAAAGGTCGAGCATGTCTGAAGCACATGAAATCTGCAAGTTTACAGGAGTTAAGTTTGGAGAAATTAGTAGCCAACAATGGAGAAAATAGAGCGATCAATTGAAACAAACCAAAAAAGAAGACAACAAGCCAATAAAAAAAAGTTTTAGGGGAGTCACAAATAACTCATTCAGATTGAATGCGCACACACCCACACAAATGTAAATTTCATTTTATGCGAACAAATTGTATTTAAAAACAATCAAATATACTTATAAGTCATGAAAATAATTTTTTTAAGTTCTGTAAATATTAAATGATATTGTAATATAAAAAGTAAAAACAATAATTAGCACAGTCATCAATCAAATAATTGTTATGCATATGAAGGTCACTGACTGAACATATTATTTGTGTTTGGCACGTGTTCAACCCAAAAATAAACAAGTTGAACAAAAAAATTCAACCAATTAAGAACTTGATCTCATTTTTGCCCAGCTTAATGGTTATCGAAGAGATTTAAATAGAGCCTCAACTTGCTCGTATTCAACTGTTGACACCCCCAATTCATATAAATTTACATATTTAATATTTTTAAATATTGTGCGCTTGCTAAGCCGACCATAATCGAATGAATTCTTATCAAGTTCAACAAATGAGTTGAAATTAAATTGCTGCTCGTTTACATAACAAAAAAACTCAAATATGAAAATATTCAAAAAAAAACAAAAAAAAAACAAAAGGAGGTTACCAAAGTGTCCAAGTTGTTCAAAAACTAAAATGCTTCTGTTTCCAAAAAAGAGTGGCATTCCCTACCACTGTATGTTGTTAGCACCACAAAAGTAAAGCACTGAAGTTGTTGCCCTAGAGAGTGCGCTGTGTGCACGACATGCATGTTTCCCTCACAAAGCTCCTCAGGCTTGAGGCCAAATTCCAAGCACATATTCCATGCTATATAAAAATTTTGTGGACACAATCATAAACTCAATTAAACCATCTCAAATCATCATCGCTCGCCACTTTGTTCAATCAGCTTTCGGACCACCTTTCTCACCTTAACCTTCCATCCAAATTTAAACCATATCTCAAATCATCATCTCTCGCCACTTTGTTCAATCAGCTTTGGGACCACTTTTCTCACCTTAACCTTCCATCCAAACTAAAGTCCCACACCCCTTCATCTAAAAATATAAAAATCCAATAGAAAAATGTGCCTTGAGTAAATACATAACCATCAATCCAATATTTTAAAATATTACAAACAGCAAAATAATAAAAAAATAATAATAACGAAACAGAATTTTCATCCATTAAAATATGATAAAAAAAGTAGCTACAAGTTTTTCTCCCAAAAGTCAGACCTCCCGCAACAGAACCACAGAACAGCGAGTATAGCATCTTAGAGACAATAGAAGTTATGGACCTGTTCTTGGAAATAGAGTTGATGTGATAATCATGAGCATGAGCATATACTCTGCGACATCTAGCATTAAGGCTTGTCTCTTCACTAGCTACCTAAACAAAGATAAACATAGTAAATGTCAGCTTTGAGATCAAAAGAATATAATGCCGGTAATTGTAAACCTAAACAAAGATAAACATAGTAAATGTCAGCTTTGAGATCAAAAGAATATAATGTCGGTAATTGTAACTAGAATAACAATTCAGTACATGCACCCCAAACTAAAAAATGGGATCGTACCACTCAATTCTTATGTATCTACATATCTAACTCCTAAACTTTAATTTTTACATGTATATATTGCCTTACCTATGCATAAAAAGGTCTATTTCACTTATTAAAAGTTAAAATAGAGGTATTTTTTATGAGATATGAGAACTTTTGGTAATAAAAATATACAAAAGTTTAGGTGTTAGATATGTAAATACATTGAATGATATACATGTAAATACCTCTAAAAAATAGAAGTATAAAAGAGACTACATCTTAAGGATTTTATATCTGTAAATTGCATGCATTTCTATGTGTCTAACTATTTTCTCAGAATATGATTTGACATTTTATTTGATAGCTGCATGCATTAATCATTACTAATGTGCATGCCCATTTCATCAAACCTGAACAGTGTTAATCTCCACATATTTCAAAGGAGTCCAACATATTGCAAATCAACTGGACTTATCACAGACCAAAATTTATGAAACAAAAGAATTTCAGCTAGAGTGCTGGAACAGGATAACAAACTTTACCACCTATCAACAAAAAAAAATAGCATATTTGTTTTCCATGTAAGTAATACAGACATTGGTTCAATTATGGAAACCATCAGCTAAATAAAAAGGGGCATTTACATACATAGCACACAATTCTGATGTGTTTACACATCTCACACCTAAACTTTCATATTTACACACATAATAATCATTTTTTTTTATATCACATAAAAAATAGCATTGTTACCGCTCTTTAAAGTGAAATACACCTTTACATGCATAGATTTAAAACACCAAAGTGCTATACCTGTAAATATAAAAGTTTAGGTGTGAGATATGCAAATACACAAGAATTGTGTGCCACCTATGTAAATTTCCCATTGAAAAAACATTTGATTGGATAAACTTATAATGGTTTCCGAGTTAATTGTCCATTACATAAGATTTGTACCACCAAATTTAATGAGGTTTGTGCTATAACTCATGCAATAAGATGAATTTATTCGCTAGTCCGGGTGAGTACAACTACCACAGGAAGGCGCAGAGTAGGAAACCCCCCAGGAGGAAACTTGAAGTCATTGCTCAAATACTTGTATGGGCTTTCAGAACACCCACCATTTGGCAGGCATGCTCTCGGACTTGAAAAACAAGAACTAGGAATGTTACCATTTGCAGAAGCTTGTGCTGGGTTCACATTCATCTCAGAAACTCTCTTCACCTTCTTCTCTTGCACCTATATAGTACAAAAGCGAGAGCACATTTAAACCTGTAGTATATGATCAAGATAGGGAACAAGGTTGGTTGTTTCACTTCCAGAACAAGAATAAGATAAGAACAGCAACAAGCCTCAATGGCAGTAAGTGGGGTCAGCTACATGAATCAGTTTTCTCCATTAAGTTCAATTGAGTGTGAAGAAAAACAACAAGAACAAGAAGAAGAAAATAAAAGAAAAAAATGCTTAGCAAGACTATTAAAAATATGTTTCAATCCTCCTAAATAGAGTGTGAAGGTTCGTTAAGGAGCACATGAACTAAAACAAAACATTTTCAAATAATTCAAACTTTCCTCATCATATAAACTGCTGAGACATGACAAGGTGGCAAAAGTAAAAAAGATAGCATACAAACCGAAGTGCCATGAATTGTTAAATTTAAATTATTTCACAAAACCAACATTTCTACATGAGTGATACTTAATTAACATGGTATATTATTCGATGGCTTATTCTTTTAATGCAACTGGCTATTAGTCCTTAAATAAATGTGATACTACACTCTCTCTTGCTAACAAAATGGCCATAAAATCCTTAGAATAAGAATAACTAATAATATAGCCCACTGAATATGTCATTGAAAACAAATATATTATACCAAAAGATTGAGAAGGCCAAAAAATAGTCACATGACTATTCGTATGTGGCAAATTCAATTCCTGAGTAACATACTTCTTCAATTTAGTCCCACAACAGCAACAAGGCTTTATCCCACTAAGTGGGGTCAGCTACATGAGTATTTTTTCACCATTGTGTCTATTGAGTGTTGGGTTTTCATTTCATTCTAATAAATTAAGAAAAATTTTTTTACAGCATGCCCAAGTCTTTCTTAGATCTATCTCTACCTTTCTTAACATAAGTCATTCTAAAATATCTACTCTCCTAATTGGGTCATCGAATGGTCCACGTGTAATGTGACCAAACCATCTAAGGCAGCTCTTTCTAATCTTGTCTACCACTGGAGCTACTCCAACCCTTTCACTGATATATTCGTTTTACATTTTGTCTCTAAGTGTAAAGCCAATCAACCACCTGAGCATTCTCATCTTAGCAACATTTAATTTTATGTTTCTCTTTTACAGACCAACATTCCACGTCAAAAAGCATTGCAGTTCTCATCACCATCTTATAAAGTTTTACTTTAAGTTTAAGTGGAACTTTTCTATCCCACAATAGGACCGATGCATTGTGCCACTTCAACCATCCAACTTGAATCTACTAAGAACATCCCCATCTATATCACCATCACTTTGAACAATAGACCCGAGATATCTAAAACACTCACTCCTTTTCCTTTTAATGACTTGATCACTGACTTGATCACTCATTGTTACAACCCCGCCACTAGATATACTACTACTACTAAAATTACATTGCAAGTATTCAGTTTTAGATATACTCAAATGAAAGCCTTTAGACAATAAATTTGACCTTCATAACTTCAATTTAGTCTCTCAACAATAAAAAATTGAACAAAAATGGTCGCTGAGATAGAAATTAATAGAAATTGAGATACAAAATTGATCTCAATTTAATCCCTCAACTATACAACATTGATCCTGATTTAGCGCTTGAGGGACCATTTGTGATCAATTTTGTTCAAAAGACTAACTCGGTCAAATGTGATACTCTAGAACTAAATTGGTCATATATGAATAGTCAGGAGATAATTTTGGGCTTTTTCCTTAGGCAGCATGTATGATAAGATTACCAGATAGAAATGAACAAAAACATTGCTTCTATGTACTAAATAATAGAGTTGGGCTTGACCACTTAACAGGACACATGAATTTTGTTGGTGTCGAGAAAATCTCTTAGTAGATGTGATAATCATCATTAGCTTTACATCCAATTGATGGATTACGACTTCACATTATTCGTTTTGTAAAATCATCATCACCAACCTCATACTAACTATTTGTTACCATGATTCCTCATAGTCATTTCTATTTGTTACTATAAATTGCTTTCTTTATTAATTTATATGTAACTAGCTTTTTTTCCAAATGCCTATCGAGTGGTTTTCTTTAAATCAATTTTTCATATGACCCAGGCACCTATGGCACTTTTTTATGTCTTTCCTAATGCTTTTATGTTGTCATTTTTTCGAATGTTGTACATTATTTTGTTGTTTTATGCTAACATTCTTACCTAAATATATTTAAATCATGTATTCCTTGATGATATATCTAGTGTGTAGTCATTGAGCATGATTTTCTTGTGGATTAGAGCAATCCTTTTATAACGGTTGTATATTGCTTGCAATTCTCATTTTAGGTTGGGTTTGAACTTCTATCGTGTGTGTTAAGAGATGTTTTATTATGTTATGTTTGTAAGTGAGTTCTCATTTATTGTTTCTAGAGGATGATGATGGTGAGTTGTAATTTTGTTAATGTATTGGTTAGGGCAACATATTTGTGACAATTGACCATTAGGGTGGAATTATTCAAATTGTAGGATAATGGCCTATTTAACCTTGAGCGCTTAATTTGCTTAATGATTTTTGTTAGTCTTACAAAACCTTATTAGCTCATATGGGGGTTTCCTTGATCTTTTATGCCATTCATCACCAATGTGCATTAATTTTTTTTCTTTTTTGGGGGCATTGTTGGTTCAGATTCTAAATTTCCTTTTCATATTGTTGGTAGCAATAGATATATGAGTTATTTTTATTGCCCATAAATTGCTTCCTGGCTTAGCTCCATTGAGTTATTTTGTTAAATTTTATTTTTGTGTTGCCAGGGTATTCCACTGTTTACTCATTTTCTTGTTTTTCGTTGGATGCCTCATTAATCTGGGAGAGTTTGGCGGATTGGCTGTGAATTATTCTGATTTCTATTCTATATTTGTTTAGACCCATGCTTATTTTTGGATTTACCGCATGATTGTCGGATTCTTCCATTGTTTAAATCATTCACGATCACCATTACCTCGGCTTGGTTTTGGGCTAATAGTTCAAGGAAAAAAATTCCTCTCTTGACAAACGACTTTTTCATAACATTATTAATTCTTCTCTATGATTTTTTCGCATTTTTAACATTTGATAAAAATAGTTTTTTTCCCCTTTTTCTTACTTGTTTATTGATGGGATTGATCCCATTCCTTTTTCTTACATGTGCTCAAAGTTCACTCTAAATACAACATTTTACCTCAAATTGTAGCAGATGCCTATAACTATTTTTTATTTTCTTAAAAAATGCATGAAGTTTGATCCCTTGTTAGAACCCCTTAAGTAGAATGAAGTTGAACTCTTAAACATTGAGACACCTTTTTGTGTAATCGTTGAAATTTCATCAGAAACTCGAAAGCTAAGTGTGCTCGTGTGGGAGCACTCCAAGGATGGGTCACCTCCTCGGAAGTTGCACCAATGGGACAAAAGTGTGAGGCCAACAGGCCAAAGTGGACAAATCTCGATGGGTGAGAGTTCGGGTTGTTCAAAGGGTATTAGAGCATTACGTAAGCTTGAAGATAGGAATATTTGCACGGCGAGTGATTTCAGGTTAAGAGTCTTGACGAGGAAGTCAGTTGCTTCTCAAGTGAGAGAGATTGTGAAATCTCTTAATAGAATTAAGTTGAACTCTTAAACAGTGAGGCGCATTTTGGTGAAACGGTTCGAATTTCAATAAAAACTCTAAAGTTAAGTGTGCTCATGTGGGATCCCTCATAGGATGCCTCTTGGAAAGTTACATAAATGGAACAAAATCATGAGAACATTAGGCCAAAGCGGACAACATCCCAATGGGTGAGAGTTCGAGCTATTACAAATGGCTCATTAGGCCAAAGCAAAAAATATTTCTATGGGCAAGAGTTCATGCTATTACATTCAATCATTCCAAGTTGACTCGGGCCATAAAATATGCAACATTTTATTAAGATGTTTTGTATGATGAATTTAAAATGTAAAATAAACCAAATGCAAGAATTTTTAAATTTTGGATGATCGGTTTGATAAAAAAGAATACAGTGTAAAACTTTGGTGAACATGGAATTGAGCATGCACTTCAAAATAAGCGTATTTTGAATTCATTAAATTTGCGCACTTTTCAAATACAATGTAAATTGCAACCCATCGTTGTAATAGCTCGCTATCGAACCGTCGACCATCACCCCTTCCCTGTCGCCGCTGTCATTGCCTTTGCAAGCCACGGCCACCATCGACCGTGTTTTACATTGATTCAGGCCTCGCTTGAGAGGATTTTATCTTTTGAGGAAGTCCTTTTAAAAGTGAAATCTGGAAAGGCTCCATTTTAAAATTTTGATCCGTAAAAAAAAATGTGTTTGAATGAAAAGATGTCGTTCACAGATTTAAGTAGGGCTGTCAAAAAAACTTATTATTCGCGAACAGCTTGTGTTCGGCTCGTTAAGTAGCTCGTGTTCGGCTCGTTCGTTAAGTAAATGAGCTGAAAACGAACAAGTCTTTAAAGTTCGGCTCTTTGTTCGCTTGTGTTCGGCTCGTTTTCGCTCGAATATATATATATATATATATATATATATATATATATACATAGATTTATAATCAATTAAAATTATTAATTAAAAAAATAGAGTAAAAAATATTAAATTAGATTCAAATAATACTTTAAATCTTGCCGTAATGGAGCAAATTTCAAGTCAAACACGAGTCGAATACGAACACGAATATTTAAATCGAGCAGAACAAAAACACACTGTTCACTAGTTGATTTCGAACACGAGTCGATTTCAAACACGAGCAGTTTCGAACAAGTCGAATATGAGCCAAACCTGAGCTCGCTCAAGCTTGGCTCGTTTACAGCCCTAGTTTTAAGTTTATTTTTTATAACGTGAAAAATAAAAATATTATTTTAACCTTGTCTCGCGAGCTTCCTCTGCAGATCATTTGAGAGCTTCTTCCTTATTATCTTAAATTTCTTATGTCAGAGATGGAAACTTTCGAAGAGGAAAGAAATATAAATAGAGGAAAAGCAGGTGAGGAGGGGCGAAGAGGAGAGAACTGTGAAGGAATGCTTTGGAAAGGTGACGTTATAGAAAGAAGGGTCTTGGTGATCGTTGTTGGGAAAAGGCAAGGCTCTAGCTTAAAAATGGGCTCCCTGTGGATCCCGAAGAAGCTCTGGCATTCACACCTAGGAATTAGAGAGAAAGAGGAGTGAGGAAGCCATTTAAGAGAAAGATGTAGGTGATGTTTTTGTTCATTCAGGTTGAAACATTTAGGTTCGGTCAGAGCTGGAGGAAGAAGTCAAGAGAGGGGGCAGAGATGGTGATAGGAAAACAGAAAGCGAGAAATAGAGAAAAGAACCAAGGATAAACAGGGAAGCCAATCACAGTGACAATCCGATGGATAAGTTGGTAATTTTTATTTACCTAACGTCGAACGTTGGTCCAACTGCTTCGACCTCGTCGCTTTCTAAATTTCGCCAGTGAGTACTCTGCGATGGAACCAACGTTCATCGTGAGGCCTCATCCAAACGACAGTTTTTCTGTTTCTCCGCTTTCTTTTCACCGTGTTGGAGCAACACCACAACCTCAAACGAGGCCTTACTTTCTTCAAACCAAATACCAAAAATATAAACTCCTGCACTTATTTTACATTAAACAAAGGAACTCAAAACTATTTCAAATAAATTATATTTTAAGTACACTACATTCCGTTCTAAGCAAACCAATTGCCCCTAAAGAAACAAATAAGGAGTCTTAATCTTAGAAAATAATATCAATCTACCATTTAAATTTGACAAACAAAAATCTATAGAGACAGTATAAAAATATAAAAAATAGCTCAAAGGATGCAAACTTCAAAGTTAAAAAAAACTGACCAAAAAAAAAAGTTTATCAGGACAAAACAATTTATTATGCATATATTAATATATATAGATACCATAATAAAAAATTTAATGCGAGAGAGAACTTTATACTAGTAAATGGTGGAAGGATGCACTCCTCCTCACAAAATGCCCATGCGCAAGTTCAAGCAGCACTACCTACCATATGCAAAAAGTGCTGCCTAAAAATATACAGGTGAAGGAAAAGAATGAAATTTACCTTCCAAAACTTAATTGTCTTATCATTAGTTGACAGAAGAAATAATGCGCTATTGGAAGTTTGGCACCATTTGATCTTGTTTATCTTCTCTTCTATTTCCAAACTCTTGAGGTAGTCAAACTGAGGGAAAAAGAAGAAACTAGTACAGGCCAAAAGATGAATTACGTGAAACAATCCTCCTTAAATAAGTTTAGACAAATAATACCTCAGGTTCATGACTTTGAAATTCTGTTTTGTAGCGAAATTCAGGATGACTGCTGATTGAATAGTCTTGTTTCTCCAGATCTCTCCTAGAACCATGCTGCATAATAGATGTATTATATTATATGAAATTCATAAAAAATAAACTAAAGCACCTATTGATCCACCAAAAATCAGAAAATTGATGGAGGTCACAATACCTCCTTAAAATCTGTCCTCTCGAATAAAACTACACGACCCCCTCTATCTCCTGTGGCAAGGTGGTCTCCAGATTTGTCAAATTCAATTGCAGAAATAATGTCAACTGCAAGAAATAACAGTATACATAAGAAAGATCAAAAACCAACAATAGGGTGAAGAGAAACATATAGCAGCAGCGTCAGATATGCAATGCACAGCACAATGATGCTAACATACAGAAACAGCAGAATGAAATTATAAAGCAAAAAAAGAACACAATGACCGCATGAGTTCCAAGGAATTTTGAAAAAAATGCATCAGGAAATTAATAACATGATTAAGAGGAATTATGACATTCAATTTAACTAAAATACCACATGGGAAGCATTGCCAAGCCAAAATGAGCAGAGAGAACAAAGGTTTCTACAATCATGCAACAATCTCGGCTATAAATGGTGGCAGCTATGTAGCACCGACACTTCTACAAATATGTCGTAACCGTGTTGGACACGTAACGGACAACGAAACTTATCAGACACGCCCCACTTCTCTGACACTTCTCCACCACTACAAAATATATGTTTGAATTTTTTCCGGCCTTAATCTGTCCAAGACACACATCAACACCGCATCGGTCGTGAGCTTAACACGATTTCGAGAAAAAGGGACATGGGAATTCGAAAATTATAAATATATGTATAGTCTTAACAATCACTCACAGTCAAAACCGCCCTATCTCTCGTCATGGGTTTAGGGTATAATTTGTATTGTGAATTCGTCAAAATCGAGTATCAAATGTGCGTCCAATATTCGTCGAAGCGGAGCATTAGTAATTCTCTTTTTGTAATCATGAGATTTTTGAAAATTTAGTAGATGAGTTGGATTATGGGTTAAATGAATTGTTTTGAAATATATTATATTTAGTTTTAAAAATTAATGTTCATAAGCATAAAATTTTATAATATAAATTAAATTTATGAAATTAAAATTTTATTTTTGTATAATTTGTATTGTGAATTTTTAATAAAGAATAATCGAAAACTATATATTTCATGTTAATAATTAATTAAATATAAAAATGAGTCAATGACGCATTATACCATGTTTTTATCATATATGTCAAGTCCTCAAATCATGTCATGTCGTGTCATATCTGTGTCTCAGTGTCAGTATCTGTGCTTCATAAGGTGGCAGCATAACTAACACCTTATACCAAAAAAATTCAAGGTCTGCTTTATGAATTATCATTCATCATTCGTTTGCTTTTAATGAGTGTTACTTCAGATGTTAGATCTATTATATGCAAATTCTTTAGCAAAACTTCTATTCATATTAACTTGTTCCAACTCATTTGCTTTCTAGCCCTTCAAGGTTAATCTGACATGCCCATCTAATAGCTGTATTTCTATACTTATGTCCAAATCACCACCTTATCTCCAATAGATGCCACTCTCATCATCCCTTTAAGATAATAAATTTACAACCAATCATTCCATATGCAAAAAATCATTTTAACATTTTATTTCTACCATGTTCAATGTGGCTATCACAATTTTTTTTTGCTGCGCAACACTCAAATCCAGAAACATAGTCAGCCTACTTGCAACCAATGTTGTTAAGAACATGCTTTAGGAACAAAGTAAAGTGATGCACTAGCCCTGTGCAATGCTTGCCTGTAAAGCATAAGCTCATGGCAAAATGTGTATTGTCTTGCACCATCATGTAAGCTTAGCTACTCAAAGAAAAAATCTAGTTCAAATTTCATGGTTTGATTTGTGTTCAAATTTCATGGTTCGGTACAACATTTGCCACAATAACTAGGCACAATAATTTATTTTTCATAGTTCTTGAGTAATTATTTGTTAATTTTCCATTCCCTTCCACTTGAGCTAGTAGTTTCATGCTGATTCTTCTCTTCACACTCACTAGCTCGCTAATTCTTCTACATTATTCATTGGCTCTTGTTGTTAGCACTAGTAGCTTCTCACTCATAAACATTTCTAAAAATGCTTCCAAATGCCTCTTCTTCATATTATCTCTCACTTCACATTGTCTCTATCTCTCGGTCTCTAATTGGTCACTTAATCTCATGAAAATATTCTTCATTTTTAGATACTTTATGCATCATTTCATTATTCATATCATTTCTATCTATGACTTGTATATGTTTGTGTATGACATAAATAACTCACAAATGCTCTAATTAATAATAAGTGTCACTTCAATTTATACTTTTAGCATTTAAGCAAAATACTCCTCGCATAAAACAAAACACTTATCTTCTAGATGTTGCTTACATTTCTTAACTTTTTGTTCATTTTAATAAATCTCTCGACGATTAAAACTAAGTTATCAGTAAAGGCCTCAATTGAAATATCATTTTATAGGCATTTTCATGACCAGTACAAAAAAATGTAAACTTAATGCTAATTATTGATACAATCCTACTATAATTGAGAACTACTTGATCACAATGCAACTACTTCTAATTCTATCTAATGCTCGATCATACATATCATTAATAGTCTCAATCTATATTTGATACTCAACCTTTTTCTCGATGTGTACCAACCAATTATTACGGTAGGATCGTGTGACATCAAAATCAATAAAAAGACATTAGATCTTTTTATCTAATTTTCATAAGATTTTAACAAAAAAATATGTTTCCATGGTAATTTTTGCTGGTGTTAAGTTCAATTGATTCTCCAAAACCATTCTTCTTCTTCTTTTTTTCTTCACATATCATTCTAATCCAAAATGTTTGTTGTCAAAGTCATAAGTATAATTTTTATATAATTATCACAATCTTGAACCTCTTTGCTCTTAAATCTTCATGCCAAAATGTTGCTTCTCCAATCATTTGTCATCCACCTAAATTTAAAATTCCATTAAAAATGTTTATTAACCAAACCATTAAAACATCACACATAGATCTCAACATCTCAATAGGTGTCTCAGAGGCCACAAGAAAACCTTAATGTGTCTTCTTTAGAGATAACTCCCCATCATTCTTTAAATGTCTATAATCTACCAAATTATTTTATTCATTATGCTCTTCTAAAATGGCTTTTCATAATTTAAAAATTACAAGATTTACAAGAGTGCCACCATAATTTCTTTCTTTATAAAATCAGCACCCAATTATTTTAAATGAACTGAGAAACCCAAATACTTGTGCATGACAAAATCAAATTACTAAGAATTTAACAAATCATTGAAAATAAAAGTTGGTAGTTTTACCGTAATTTCCAGGATTTGACTGGTATTATAATAAATAGAAGCATTTTAGTACTATTTTCGTAAAAAAGCAAAATTTGGGTGTTCCATTCATCCCTTTATCATTTCTCAGGATTTGACTGGTATTATAATAAATACCAGGATTTGATTGTAATTTCGAGGACTTGACTGGTAGTTTTAATGTAGTTGGTAGTTTTACTGTAATTTCCAGGATTTGACTGGTATTATAATAAATAGAAGCATTTTTGTACTATTTTCGTAAAAATGCAAAATTTGGGTGTTCCATTCATCCCTTTATCATTTCTCAAAATAATTTTTTTATCATTTTATAATATTATTATTTTTAATTACAGTTTATCGTCTAATGTATCTAACTTGAGCAAAATCACTTCTAAGCTCTTTCCTTCATATTTTCTGTTTCATAAAGTATGCATTCCGTACTGCAGGATCATATGCAACTCTAAAATCAATAAAGCTTCTCTCTTTACAATTATATGTCCCATTACACACTAATCATGAATTCTCTCTCAAAATCATTTAGTAGAACATGTACGTCTGCAAGTCATTCTAAAAAATTATCCTTTTTTACATAAATATATATTGTTTAATTCATTCATCACCTTCAAAATTTGATTTTACAAAGTTTCTTCACATCCAACTTAAGAGTACAGATATTAATCACATTTGTAATATCTTCACTGATAAGTAACTTAATAGCAACCAACCTAATATTAACTCTATCCACCTATGCAGTTTTGTCTATCAACTATCTATCCACTATTATCTGTACCCTTTTTTATTATTAACATTTCAAACATACAATAAATTAAACCATTTCCCAATATCATTAGATTTCTCAGATAAATTTGTGCCTTGGCAGCAAATAATAATTTTATTCTTCTAATCACTATGTCCTCAAATTTTCACCATGCCATTTCTTGTCCCATTATTCCAAGTAAGAAATATAATCTAAGTCTGTGCCTACACATCAAATATAAATGCAATTACAATGAATTCAGATGCATCTACAAACGAAGAGGCCACCAACAAACATTCCCAATTACTTCAAGAAATTTAGTTGCATAATATTTCACTTCTGAGATCATAAGAATTTAACATATTTAATGTGTTATTATATAAACAGCTTGTAGATTGGCTTACCAAAAAAAAAAATTAAGCTTGAGTGTTGTTAAAAGAGATGGAATGCGGAAAGAACAATAAAAAAGAGATGAATGTGGCAGGTATAAAAAAAAAAGATAGAAGACGAAGAAAATATATAAAGGAGAGATTACTTCAAACCAACCAATCAAGAGTGGGTAGAGGAAGCTCTTGACAGCAAGACATGAAGGAGATGAGATCTCCCCACCAGAAGTAGGGGATGTGAGAGCTGGACAGCCATTCAAAAAGGAAGGAGAGCAACCAATAATTTCATCCCTAATTCATCTAAGATACTTCTTATCATAAACCCTGGGCCCCTCATTTATTGGAGTGCTTGTTGCCTTACTTCAATATCCAAAAGCTTAAACTGTCAACCAACAACCATGCACTCCAAGAGAATCTTTAATAAATTAAAATTACCATGTAATCTAAATTGCAAGAACCAAGAAGCTCAAGGAAATGTAAGAAATAGAAGACCATGCATAGCTCTCAATCTCTTTTAATGGAACATTGCTGGGAATGCCTACACATACTCCATCAACAGACACTAGACTGCCTTACTTCTCTAATATGAAACAAGTAGCTAAAGGATTTTTTAACTTTTTATCCAGCTAGAAAAACTCATACCAAGATGACTTTACCTTGTTTTGGCTGAAATATAAAGTAGGCTCACACAAGCTTGACTTTTCATAATGCACTTGCTTGTCGTAATAAAAATATCTAAATGCATTAGAAGTATATAGTTTGCCCAATTTGATTATGGCAAACTGATTAATTTATTGGAGTTCCCAACCTCAAAATACAGCAAAACCTAACCATGATCCTGTTTGGTTTGGCTGATCAAGTTTATGAAAAAGTATTTTGAATTTACATTTATTGCACCTCCTAAAGTCATATTTTACCTTATTTGTTTAAATTAGCGCTTCAAGTAGCCTTCAGAGCAAAGTGTATTAGTTTGTAAGTGAAAGTGATCGTTCTACAGGACTGATTTAAAGCTTTATTAAACTTTCTACATGCAGAACATACAAAATGAAGAAAGATTAGCGCCACTTACATATATACAGTAATCCTATCAACCTCGAAAAAATTTGAAGGAACAATAAAAGCTTAGAAAATCACCAGTTAAAAATTCCCACGGTGTGGTTACTGGAACAATACAAAATGAACATGCAATCATATATGACCTCAATGGGAAGCTTTTAGCGATAACTGTGAACATTGTATGGAGATATAAAATCACTTTCTTCGGAGCAAATAAATTCCAGTGCAAATCAAGGAAATGGACACTTGTCACGAAAATATGGAAAGAATTAAAAAAAACGTTCTGTAAAATGTTGAATATAAGCTAACAAGGATAAAGAAGGAAGCACAAAAGGAGTCGTATTTATCAAAGTGGGAAAAAAGTGAGGCGTTTATCTGACATAGCTTCCAGAATCCATTGACTCAATCAACAAAAAGTACCATATTTGCATATCTTTATGTTCATCAAGTTCTATAAGCAAAGAGCTGCTAGCATGTTTGACTGTAATCAGAAATGCACAAGTTCATTGCAAACTATCATCAACATCAGAAAACAAAAAAACAAACTAAGCTCGCATCATCGCAAGAAAATCCCGATACCCAAAAATAAAATAAAATAATTCACCACCAATCTCCCTTCTCTATCCTATCTACTTCCAGATATGCAAAACGTAAATGATCATCGATAGACCGGAGACTAAAATAGAAATCAACACAAAGTAAGATCTAACCATCGGAAACAGCCGGACCAAACGAAACTGCTATGCTGACTGTGCTGCGCCATTGAATGTATCAGCCCCGGCCTAGAGTACAGATCTAAAACAAACTAAAGGGGCATACCTTCTTGGACTTCCTCTCCGGCGGTCCGCTCGCCGAATACTTGTGAGAATTTCCAATCCAGAGGCGGTGGGGCCGAGGAAGTCGCTGCAGCAGCTTCCTCACCTCCTCCCTTCCCATTCATTCTCCGAGTAGATTTCCGGCGCAAACTTCGGCCACGACGATCGGCCTGTGCATCAAAATCGATATCTTTTCGAGATCGCAATTCCTGCAAGGAAGATCACAGGCGACGCTGCCACTCGCTTGTCGGAAAATCTTACCCAATTAATCCATGCGACAGGCGAGCCAGAAGGAGAGAAATGAAGGGAGTTGAGGGTATGGGGAGATAGTTCACAGAGACTGATACGACGGAGAAGAAAAATTAAGTTTACATTCGCTCGACCATTTTGCCCTAGCAAAGTCATGGTTTTTTTTATTTTTTTAATTTATTATTTAAATTGTGTCAAAATCGTCCTCAATATTTGTATTGGTGAATTTGAATAAGAGTTTTTAAAATGTCAAAATATTTTTTAATATTTTAAAATTAACCTCTCATAATTCTCCCTAGGAATATTTTTTTATCTAAATTTAAATAGTGTGAATTATTTTGACAGTTCTATAAATTTTAGGACTAAAATAACTTCATAGAAATTGTACATAATTATTTTGGCACATCTCATTTTTCTTCTTATTTTTTTAGTGCATCCTTCCAAACTTTACAAAAGATGATCTCATGTAATGAAAGTTAAATGTGACTTCAAGGGAAATTTATATATCTGTAGCAAAATGTTTATTGTTGAATCCAAATATGTCTGAGAGACACGCTCAATAAATGGAGCGCCATATGGGGAAAGGGTAGAGAGAGAAAGAGATAAAGTAGTGAATCGTAGAAGACATGCAACATTAATTTGAATAATGACCCGCTATTTATAGGCAAAAAGGTACATATTTAAGATTACATCTTTGTTCTTGAATCAATAGAATAGTGAGAGTTATTTTTGTACATTATTATATGTGTCATGTGCAACCACATGAAGGATTTTCCCGGTGATAGCCCACTGTATGTTAGTATGTCTTGAATCGATCGGTCCACCATAGGTCGATCGGTTATGTTGTGCACTCTTTATGGGAAGTAAGAATCGAGGGGTGATGGATCAACTGATCTCAAGTTTGGTTTAGGCAGTTTTCACATTGTGGCATGTGTGAATGATAACATGTCTTTATATTTTTCTATTCGTCATCATTGCACATGGTTGTTATATTTCTTCAAGATTCTTACAGACATATTTTTGCATATATGTTTATTTATTGGTTTCCTTGCAATGAAAATAATAAGAATTTTTTTTTGTAATACCAAAAATAATATGAATCTAAATTTATAACGATATATTTGCATAATAAATGATTTCCCTATATGTTTATATTCAAAGCTGTTATGAATAAACAGCAATGGGTTCAGAGCTACGCGCCATCTGTGAATAAAAATCACAAAATTATCAAAAAAATAAATTATAAAAATTCAATGAATAATCAAATTTCCTTAAACTTTATATAATTATGTCTGTAGAACTTTGTTGACTTTTATAAGTAATTTCTTGGATTTTATAAATTTTAATAATATTAAATATTGATATATGTCTTAAAAAAACATGTAAATAAGTTTAATTAAAAAATTAAAGTAAAAGTAAGAAAATAAATATATTTAATAAAAGTTTGTAAAAATCAAAAAAATTCAAACCAACATAAATAAAAGAAATTTTCCTTAAACAAATATATTCAAATAAGAAAATCAAAACTAATCTAAATTTGAACAGTAATAATCAATCTTTAGTTCCAAAAAAAATTATTGGAAAATGAGACTAATGCTTGATGACAATTATCTTTTGGACAGAATAGGGTTAATATCTATAATGGCTAAGTAGAATAAAACCAACAATAATGGAATGATGAAATTATGAGATCTTGATCGTCGTATTAACATCAACTTCACTTAATTTCTTCATCTCTTCAGCACTCACCAACTCTATACATCATAGAACACCCACCTATAAATGTTATTAGCACAAATAATTTTGTGGTTTGATCATTAGAATTGTTTAGTTATGGAAGATTGTTTTCGCTAGACTAATTGTTTGGACAAGTTGATAATAATTTTTTTGTTTTCCTCCACTTGCTAGTTTAGATTGCACTAGTTTACTCTGCATGTTTCTAGACAGTGATAGTAAATATAGGATGTGCTAATTTGTTTTTGTAGGAGTGTTGTAGTAATATAAGGCTTAGTTAAGTTAATTTGTTATAGTTTCATATGTTTTTTTTTCCCTGTTGGGTATTTTCTTTTATAGAGTAAGGTTGTCTGTAATATTCAGTCAACTGTTTACATTTGAATGGTCCACAAAAGAATAAACAAAATGCGAATGGTTGATCCCAACTAAACGACAATGTTAATTTTAGACTGAGGAGTCTGACGTAGGTCTAAGGTTAGCATCCTTAATCATGTATTTGCTTTGTTGTTGTTTTTATTATGTTCGATATAGCTGACCAAAATTTAGAGCGTTGCTTTATTTGCTTTTTGGTTGGATCTACGATAGGTTTTATAAGGACTATATTTTTTATACAATAGGTTCTATAAGGACTGTATTTTTTATCTCAACAGACAACTAAAACAAAAATTTTCAAAATAAAATAAAACTCAAAACCGAAAACAAAATTGCATCAACACACTACATTCACATATTTATCAATCATGTATGCTAAAATAATAAAATTGATAATTAAATAAAACAAAGTAGGAACCTCTTTATAATTTAGGGATAACCGAGAAATAAGTTCATCATAGACATACTCATCCCGTGTTGGTTGTATTCATTGTCTTTGGCTCCTCACTCATTACCCAAAAAATGACGGTTTGACACATGAAAACCATTACCTTATAGAGTGAGTTTTGCCTCTACATACCAATTGATCTTTTGAACAAACCTTCACTGCATTCATCATGAATGACGCGCATTCTTATTCACAGTTTGTTGTTGATCTCTCGACACTAAGAATTAACACAAAATAATAAAATGAATTTGAGTTTGATGAGCTTCAAAATTTTTTTACTTTTAAATTACAAAATTAATCTCACATTGGTCTTAGTATATTTCGCATACCCTACATACTTAAACGGCTTGATCGTCACAATCAACTTGCAAGACCTACAATTTTTAATAAATAACAACCTTCCTTATTTTACATTCATTGAAACCGACCTTCATGGTTTTAAAATGTGTTTAGATGATTTATATGACAACCCTTTCCAGTCAGAATTGCAAGTTCATTTCGCACGTTTGTTTGTGTGTTTTAAAGAACTATATTTTGATGTTTAAATTTCTTCGGTGAATATGGCCTTAGTTTTTGGATTTTGAGGTTGTTCATCTAACACGACGTAAATACTCACATTCATATGCTTTCTCACGATTTTATATCATAGGATATACATGTTAAATTTCTAAATAAATTGTAAGATTAAAATATCAAATTGTTTTTTTTTCAAAAATGGAAAGTCAAATTATAGGATAATTGAGATATTACTGAGATTTCTTCAATATCTTTGACATGTCATGTTTTTTATTATTTTTGGTTCCACAAATGACTTTTGTATTGAGCATTTCTCAATTTATTTTTCTTATAATCAATCACAAAAAATTGAAATTCTTGAATACATAATCTAAATCTTAATTAAGAGTTTTCTCAAGCAGTTTTAATCGTTTGTGATGTAATTAATTATAGAGGTTTGTGTCTATAGAAAATTAGCAACCAATAAAATGTAAATCTAGTATAATTTTCAAATTAGATAGAAAAACAATCTGTTGGTATTCTCATAGACCAAGAAAATATTATATTTTTTTAGTTTGAATAATTAGAGCAATTATTGTGTGATATTCTCATATTTGGAGATGACTTATTACATATAATGTCGTGCTCGATAATTCAAACAATTAAATATTTGAGATTAATTTGATCTTATTTTTGAAATCAAAGCCTTTTCAACAAAAATAAAATCAATAGAGCCACAAGCATGTTAGGTATTGTTCCAATCTTCTACAAATACCAGTTCAAGTAGGGTCTTTGGCTGCCTTTGTGCGAGGGCCTCCGGTCGATCTTCAACATGTGTGGGGTCATTCCAGTGTTGGTTCGCTCAAACTTCATGGCAAGAGTTATACCACTCATTTTTTTTTTGGAGGATGAATATCCCATGGACCATCGAGCTATTTTGTTATTTCTTCTCATTCAATATCGATTAGGGTGGATACTTCAGTTTACTGCAAGTTACAGGGTTCAGTTGTTGGGGCTTGAGAAAAAAACTGAGAAATGGAAAGCCAAGTTTCTTATTGTGTCTTGCACGAGTACTTGGGAAATTCACGCCTTCCAATAGTGTGTGACGTTAAGAAGTTCAGGGTTCAATCAGGCCACCTCTAGGTTCATGGGGCACTAATTGAAGGGGAGCGTTGATCCCGATATTTTTTATATGTAAGGATTTATAAAGTTGACATCACTACTTGAAGATTTTAATCTCCGGCAACGACGTCAAAAACTTGATCCCACCTAAGTAAAGTTGTGTAAAATTTATATAAGTATAGACAATTAATAATGAGATTCAACGCAAGTATACGTATCTTTATCAAATAATAATGAACTTTCTATTTAAGCCCCAAATATCGATTCCACGGGAAATGTTTAAATTTGAGATGATAAATTAACTAGGAAATTCACATAAAGTAAAACGAAATTACTGTCACTAATCACTAATTTTGAATTTAATTTTGAAGGTTAAGATATTATCAAAACTAAATTACTAAACTATTAGCAAAACATAAATACAAAGTTTAAATAATAACTACTAATCTACTAAACTATGTTTATGTAATGAATATTTCTTATGTAAAAAAACATATTTCCCACTACAACGATGTTTTTGTGAAATGAGATTAGATAAATGTTTATAATATGTTTTGTCAAATAGGAGCAGTTTTAATTCTCTACCCAGATACAATGTTATAGAGAATCATTGACTAATCCCAAGTTTAGTTCATAAATTCATGGTTAGCCTAGGAAGATATCAGCTCCCACTCAAGAGCTCTCGCTTCCTTTCACCTGAAGGTTAACTCTCGCTTTAGTTTTTAAACACAAAGACCGAATTGGAGATTTTAGTCTGTCACCCTAAAGATTTTCCAATTATACACCTAACAAAGTATATTTTCTTATTTATTTTCACTTAATCTCATGAACAAATTTCTCCTTCATAAAATCAAATGTGATTTTCACTCAGTTGTAGATCTCATGCTTCATTTCTCGGATCATATGTTTTACGACACATTTTAACATTTCAATTGGTCAGATCAAACATTAAA